AATAGTGAGAAAACGAGAGTATTATTTTGACTCGAATTCAATGAAAGTTTGTGAAATAACGATTTATGATGTTGAGGATAACAATATGAATTTCGATGATAGTTCGTTAAGTGTTAAATACTCTGTCATGAATAGACAAGGTAAAACAATCTGTCCTTCTTTCAGAATTGTAATTGAACCTTGATATGTCGTTTGATGTTTCCCCAAAACCCTTAACAGCCCTTAATATTCTTTCACAGTACTTTCCTATCAGCTAGATCCCCACCATTTCCTCAACATCCTTCAATTCTCGCTAACTTTTTTGGTATCCCCAGTCGTCGCTATCTTTTAAAAATTCAAAAGTGAGGTTTGACAGGACGCATAACGAAGATGATTAGTTTTCAGAAAATTGCAACTGCATCTGGGAGGTGGGGAGGGGAAGAAGGGATCATAGGATTCAAGATAAAACCCTATCAAAAGCATAAAAACGTGCTTTGATGATGACATGAGTGTTAATATAAAATGTAATATAAATGTAAAATGTAATAAAATGTAAGTTAGGAACATCAAAGTATTTTAATGTGGTAGACCAAGGCAATATAGCAAGCTTTGAACAAGTATTAATGAATATAATAAAAGGGTACAACGCAATATATTAGGTCAATCTGATAAAGTATAAAATATAAAGTCATATATAAATTTGATGGAATTCACAAATATAAAGGAGTTTAAGAAAGTGCTATTACTGGTATTGCTGGTTTTATCAAAAGAAATACGATGCGCTTTGATAAAACGCTGAAGAGGTTAATTATGGTTCGCTATGCTTGGTTGGTTAAGGATTCTGATGATTCTGATGTCTGATGTCATAATGTCTGAACAAAACCAAGTTCGTATAAGACTGATTATAAAAGTCTAAGAGGACGTTATTAATGAATTACGAGGACAGTGGAGTTGGATGGGTTTTAAAGGAAAATATCTGAATTTTAGTCTGAGACAGAGCATTAACAGAGTGAGGAGAATTTTCACAAATATGACAGGTTTTCGATGATATCGATGAGTTTTTTTTTGGCATATTACTTAACCAAGGAATTGGTGATTTGAAGTAATCAATGCCTGGCTTAATAGATAAAATAACTGAGTGCAAATCTTTCTCAGATAATTATTCCAATTCCAGAGGTTTTAAGGTAGTAAAATCGAAATTTATTTAATTCAATTATTCAATATTTTCTAAAGGAATAGAAATGAATGAAGAAGAAAAGGCTTATGAAAAGAGTGAATAGATCAGTGGGTCATTTATGATCCTTTTAAGCAGCAAATGGCTGAAGAACTTGAAAATTTGATGTTCAGTGAAGAAAATTTTCAAAATTTTCAATTTTCAAAATAAAATTAATGTTTGGTTCAAAAGCTATTCAACTTTTGGCTAATCCACTGACTAGACCGCTTATAAACAGATACACTTCCTTCCTTCACAGGTAATTTGAAAATATCCGATTTTTATCATTTGCATCTATGGTAATAAACTAAAATTCATTATCAAATCACTAATTTAATCAATGTAATCAATAATAATAAATAAACAAAAAAGTAGGGATGATTAGAAAGATTTGTCTGCAAAAAGTAGACAGAGTCTCCATTAAGATTAGTTGCACAGTTCCTATGTTTATTGTTTTTTGCATAATATTCCTTTCGACTTTATCGTTCGTGTTAGCGAATTCATTTAATATATTATGGTCCGCTCGAGCATTACAAGTCGTCCGATCGGATTTACCAGCACTCTTATTATCCTTTCTTCCAAACATTCATCCCATCAACGACTGCTTTCTATTCCTTCGTCTTTTACCGTTTCGCCAAGAAGATAAATCGAGTATTAACTTAATAAATGAATGTAATAATTAGCTGAATTTGAAATTATTTGGATTCATGAAAGATTATTATTCGTTTCTCTTAAGAAAAAAACTGAAAAAAATAAGTTAACACGCAAATTTCTTCAGGAATTAGTTTTTAAATCTCTCGCTCATCTTTTTTTGTATCGTTAGAAGAACTATTTTCACCAAACCAAATGCTTATAAATAAATCATTGGCAAACATTCTGAGTTTTACGTTGAGTCACGTAAACAATTTTTCAATGCATATTTTTGCATTTGTTTTGCATTTGCTGAACTTCTTAGTTTAATGAAATCACATGTGAAAGCTTAGATTTTTTTTTCTCGTATCTTAGTTCAGACTTTGAAAGAAACGGTAAGAAACTGTTAGAAAAATCAGGATAGTGCTGGGGAGTCACTGCATTTTATCCTAAAATAACATACTTGTAAATTTGTCAGTGAAGTAAGGAAGTACTGATTTTTTCCTGTTCCTTGCTTGATCTACTTACTGCTTTTGATGAAAGTGCAGCTTTGAAGAATTGTTATGCAAAATATGCACAGTTCGACTGAGTCAAAATTTTATAGATTTTACTTTTAGAGATTTTTCAGATTATATTTGAAATTTTCAATCAAACATAGAAAACTGATATGATCATATTTTTTATAACATAATTTACAAATTTATAAAATTTTATTTATTCAGTTTTAACTATTCAGCACTTCAATTTGTGGTTCTTCGAACCCATATTGAGTGAAATGAACTGGAAGGAAAAGCAATCGAAAAAATCGTTTTTGATTCATACATCCTAATTTCAGCAGGTTTTTCAGCCGAATAAATTTCTGTAATGTTCAGAGATCTGGTGTTAATGCCAATTAATGAATAAACATAGTGTTATTGATTTTAGCCATAATTGCTGAATTGTTTTTCTCGTGCGATCGTAATTGGGAATCTTGGAACCGCAGTGTTGAAACTGTGGATGATGCACCGCTGGTGAGCTAATTCATTTGAGCGTGGTACTGTTTTTTGTAGTCTATCTTTATCTTCTCGGAAAAAATATTTTTGAACTACTCTCACAGGCGGTATGACCCCTTTGCAATTAAAATTTATAAAATTTAGATCAAAATATAAATATTAGCGAAAAATATTAAAAATGGGAAAATATTTATTGAAATTATAATGGAAATATGTGTTCTTCATCTAGTTGCACCATTTTTTAGGAATGGCTGATTTTCCTGTTAGTGGGCCATTTAACCGATATACGACGTGGTTGTATATATGGATCGACTTATGCAATTGATAATGCTGTATTTTGCTTTGCTTTCACTATAGGACCGTTTCTTTCTGTGCATCTTTTTCGGCGATTCAGATTCACAACGTAAGGCTTGCTGGTGTTCAAAGTGGTTTGCAAAATTTTATCCACGAAAACGAAAGTCTCCCAAAGCAAAATTTGAGAATTTTTCGAACATACTGTTAATATAATTAATTTCATGTGTAAGCCATCTACGTATTTATGAAAAAAAATTCGCCTGAATATAAGAAATACAACCAAAGAATTCTATTCTTTTTTAATTTTTTACAATTGCATTCTTTTATATAACTGCGGGAATTTGATCTAAATTCGATGGTAATTCATTAAATCTATTATAACAAATTGTGGATTAATGTTTATATGTTTAAAGGTTACCAATGATCATAATAAATCCACCAAAATTTCTGATGGACAATGCGGATAAACAGCCAGCAAGATTCAGTCGAATTCAACGTCAGCTTGCTTATTAAAATGATTATTGATTCTAAAATGAATTTTTTGCTTCATAAAAAAGTAATATAAATAGTATGAATCGCGATGGATTTTAAAAATGAATGAATTTCAACAAAAGTATTGTGTTTAACATTGTGACAATAGATATTCGCATTTATTCGCGAAGCCGCGAATAATAATCGCTTTTTTATCACACAAATATCAAAAATTATGATTTGTTAAGTGTTTCCAATATACATCTGTTTCTGAAGCTGTAATTGCTGAAAATTGCTGAAAATCTGTTGAAATTCATTAAGAACAACCGAGAAGTTTAGAAAATTATTATATTCCTTATACAATACAATATTTTTTTAAAATTCATTCCAATTCAGCTAATTTTCTGTTGATTTATTATGTAATTTAAATATAAAGCATTATATCCATGCTTTTCGAACATTTTTTTAGCACTATTTGAAGTTCGTGAAAATAATTTTGCTTTAACCAAATGCATATTTTTCTTGCTTGTGATAAATTTTCTTGTTCCATGGAAAGTAGAATATTTTTTTAATTTCTTCCTGAATATTTAGAAAGGGATGGAGGTGCTCGGGTGAATTATTAAATTTGTTCATAATACTTCACACGCATTACGCTAGAAAAAATTTTATAAAATTTAAAAGAAAATGTTTAGAAGAAAATTTTTGACTGAAATACATTACACATTGCAATCATCTTAATTGACGCGCAAAAAAATACTATTACATCTTTTTCATGGCAGCGCGTGCATTTATTTATCGTTCATAACATGAATATTTCCGGTCATACAAATGACGAGACATATCATTACTGACAAAGTTCGAAGGAAAACACTGCTCAGTTTGTCAAAAATTCAGTTTTTTGAAAATACAAAACAAATTTTTATTGGAATAAACGTGAACTAGCATTAAATTCAAAGTTTCCTGTTTGCAAAGATGTGCAAATACATTGAAAATATTTTTTAAAGGAACTCATTAGGGATTATTGTCATTAGATTAGTGATAGAACAAAGCGCAACTTGGAGATATCTTATCCTTGTAGCCAGCGGAGCCAGCCTAACCAGTAATGGTAAGTTAGAAAAAGAAGACTGAACGGAGATAAGGCAATATGCAGCAGTTAAGGATATAAATTTTAAAACTAATAATTTGTAAATTGATGAAGCGAATAGCTCGAAAAACTTATTCAATTCATTTTCACTAAATCGAGCATTTGAACAGATAATTTAGTTGTTTCTTCTTGTTTTAAGCTTATTTATGCCTATAGTAATAATTCAAGCTGAACTCGTCTTTCTCAAATTTTATCGTTATGCAATCACTTGGCCGTATAATTGAAATTAAATTAAATATGCTTTTATGTCTTTTATGAATAGCATGAATCGAACGAATCAACAGACTCCATCCATTTCAGTCTCGACATCAAATATTTCCGCATCTTCATCAACAACAAGATATTTCGCTCGACCTTTTCTTTGTACTTTGATTTTTTTATGTACTTCTGAGTCAGCGAGAAGATTTCGTTTTGAATGATCTGGACCCTCCTCAAAACTAAATGTCCTATAGATAACAGTTGGCTTGAGACAATTAATGAAGCAGATCTGAGCGCGAGGTTGTATGTATATAATATCACCTTTAGAAACTGTCATAATTTTCTTGCTGCTATTCTTTTCTGTCAAATTTTCGATTATTGCTTCACCTTCGACGAGCACCATAATGCTGCCACAGTCGAGGCAGGGTATCGGTAGTGGAGAATCGGTTGTTGCAACGCTTACCTGGAAAAGTTTAAAAAGAATATTTCGTGCTTTGTTGCAAAAAAATTTAACAACACAAAATTTTACTGTAATCCAATATTGCAAATTATTTTAGAACGCATCGAAAAAAAGCATTTAGACCTTGATTTCATGAAGTGTAAAATCTTTGCAATCTGGTGCATATTCAACGACATGTGGGAAGTCCTTTAACACAACTGGCTTAACTATGTAATACGATGGATCCGTCATTCTATAGCTAAGAATCTTACAAAGCGTCTCGACATCGATATATTTAGGAGTGCACGCTGCACGAATTGTATTATTTGAACATCCAACACATTCAACGCATTCTAAAAGAATAAATCAACATGTGATCGCAAATGGCTCAGATTTTTCTTATAATCTTTTATTATACGAACTTATCGTTATTGAAAAATTGTCGGTTTTAAACTTCTATAGTTTGATTTTATATTTTATATTAATGATATACCACAGATTGCATTACTTATCCAATGAACGATCGATGAAAAGAAAGCTTAAAATTTCAGAATTTCAGACATAGAATTTAGTTATTATAATAAAAAACCCGAATTTTTTGATCTACTTTATATCTATGAGTATACAGTACATGGCCATAAAATACAAGTAATTAGAGTACAGTAATGAGAATATTGAAAAAATTAATGAGCAAGATCTTACCACCAGAAAGGTATGCATGAAGCTCTTCAGCAGCATAATAGCAGCATTCACCAGGCTCAAGAATTAGATGATTGAGGAATAGTGGTGAGAAACAGCCTATATCACCAGGAAAGTCTTGAGCAATTTTTTTGATCACATTTGCAGTACCATCACTTAGGCACCCTCTTACTAAATTTTGTTAATTTTTTTTAACTAATTTTCTGTATTTCTATTATATTTAAGTATTCTATGCAATTCGCTTCCAGCGAAAATAGATATAATAGATTAGTTATATAAGCCTGATTTATGAGACTCAGCGACTTGCTGTTATTAATCATTATTAAAAAAATACAGTACCATGACCATCCGTTAAGGTATTAAGATGATATTGTAGCTAAAACTACTTAGGTATAAATCAGGCATCATAAGTGCGATGGACCAAGTACCATAATTCCCAAAATCTTTAATGAGTTTCCTGCCTTTTAATTTATTGTATATTGAATGAACTAAAAAACTAACTCACTTCCGCTATCTAACTTTGACAGCATGCTCTCAATAAGCTTCGCAATTTTTGCAGAATCCTTCGTTGCAATAAACTCCTTGAAACAAACAGCCAAAGCCGCTTTCATCGTTTCACATTCATTTAAAATTCCAGCATCCACTAGAACTTGGAACGCCTCGGATGTGTCCTTACCCATTAGTTGCTTTAGTTCAGGAAATGCTAAAAATATACTTTAATATACTTTAATTTAAAAATATAATATACTTTTGCTTCAACGCATTAATGTCTCCTAAACATTCATTTCATTCATAGTGGATTATAACTGCTAATAAATCGAAATAGGCAAGGTGGGGAAATATAATGTTGTGATCCTTTACCTGACATGTTAATAGAGATTTGCGCAGCAGGTCGAAACCCGCATAGTAGCTCAAATCTGGTCCATGCAAATGCTAATTCTGGCTTGTGGTTACGATCTGGATAATGAATTGGATCACGGTCATTTAGTTCTGCTGCTTGTTGCTAAAATTTTGGCGAATTGGCAATGTAAATAAGAATTTCCACAATATTTATGTAGCTAGTTGCTCTTAATTTGTGCAAAATACGCAAAACTAAAAGAATCGTTTTTACATAATATTTTCTAAATACCATAAAATGCTTCTTAATATGTTTTTTCATACAAAAATTTATGATAGCCTGAGGCAAGAATCTCCGAACAAACAAATTATACATTCTGCAACTAGGAGATGCTATATGACGTAGATCACCTTTGTTGGATGCACCTGAAGTGATAACGCCTTTTCAACGCTCATGAGCTTCATAATGAATGGAAGATGTTTTTCATTGGGACAACCATGACGTAGTGTCTCGCCATCAGCAATGAAGGTAGACAATTTTACTTGTGAATTTTTCAATCGAGCCGGCCCATCTGGATGAGTTCCCATCCATAACTAAAATCTCTTGTATAATTAAAAGTGTTTATTTATTATGATTGAAATTTTTAATGGACTTAAGTAAAAATACCGAATGAATTTATTTATGCTTCCTACTTAAAATTCGTTTTAAAGTAATCAGCGGAAGATTGCTCTAAATTCTCAGAATGCGAGCACCAAGCTTAAGCCCTGGTATTTGAGTCTAAATAATCATATAAAACGATTGTATATAATAAATAAACTAGGCCCTAAGTATTATCTTACCTTAAGTCTTAAGTAGAGTAATGCGATGCTTATGCTCTATATTGAGTTAAAAAATCGACTTTTGTATTATTTTCAGGATTCCATTGATCTTCCACCTTTCTTAATCCTTTTTCACCTTTCTTGAACAATGATTACGTTAAAAAAATGCCTTAAGTATAATTTTTTTCATTCATTTATAGTTCTTCAATAAATAATTTCAAAATGCTGCATTATAATCAAGTAAATAGTATAAATAGTATATATATATATATATATACATATATATAATATTTAAAGTATTATGGTAAAAGTCTTCTTTATCAATTCTTATTATCACAGAGTTATGAGCGAGAAAACAAAGTTGACATTGCAAAGTTATATCAAAACACTGCTTTCTTGTCAGGAATAATTTTTTCATTTACTTTGCACAATTAACTTCAAATAAAAAACTTCGCAAAAAGAGAGAAAAAAGTGCAGCAAAAAATGTCTAAAAATGAAATCCAAAAAATGGTCCGAATAATGGTGAAATTTTGACAAACCTCAGCATAACACTTATTTTCATCAATGACAGCATTGTGCCCGGCTGCATATATTCTTGCAACATCGCTCTTTGTTCCCTTTTTGCCCCAATCATAATTTTGTACATGACAATCCAGGCGTTCCATGAAGCTATAAAAAATGAATCATACTGGAGATTTGGTAATTCAAAAAAGCTGCGTGCAAAAGATAATCAGAAAAACACGACGAAATCAGTTCACCAAAAAGCTTGCAGATTAAGTTTTTGAAAAATGGTAATGAAATCAACAAGATACAAATAAAAAACTTGAAAAAGATATAGTAAAAATTGAATGCCACTCTGGTAAAATCTTACTTTAATCTTTGTTCTGAGTTGTGCTAAGGAATCATTTTTACCACTTCCTCAAGTGACTGGAAATAAATCTCACCGTAGTGGCTGGTCGAGTCACCCAAATCAGAAATAAAAATTAGAAGTGATTTTTGGAAACATAGTCAGAACAGATGAAATACCTAGGAATAAAATAAAAAAAGAACGCAACTCGAAATTTTCAAGAAATAGCAAGAATTTCAAATGAATTTAAAACATGGATTTCCAAATTTAATAAATTATTTTATTCCACTGTTCGATCCCTAAACCACCTAAAGGCAACTTTTTTAGAGGAAAATTTCGAAATTTCAAATATAATTCTTTGTTGAGAATGGACATAATTTTTTTCATAGATCGAACATTTTGATTTGTTTCAATTTTTACTCGAATTTTTCTAAAGACTGATTTCTTCAAAAGTTTATTGAAAAAAATGATGAAAAACAATATTTAATAAGAAATTCGAGAAATTTTTTTTTGGAAGATTTCTCGCTTAAATTACACATGAAAAATTTCTCAATGAAAAATAAAAATTTCATTCTTAAAATTAAAAAATTTTCGTCACAAATTTCATTGTTAGTGCGATTAATACGAAAATAATGAAATTTTGCTGACAATTTGTGCAATATTGTCATTTGAATTATAAAAATCGAATAAATTTATGAGGGTTTGATAGATAGAAAACTAAATTTTCGAAAGCAAACAATCATTGTACGAAAAGAAATTATTCTTATTAAAGATAGGACAAGATAAGAAAGCGTTATCAATTAATTAAACTTTATCAAGATATTTCGAAGAAAAGCAATACTAAGATATAATTCATTGAATTCATTAACTTTTGATCAATTTATCAATTGATTAATCAAATTCCATTAAAAATTTGAGAAGAAAAAAGAAATTAGAATGAACTTTGTTTTCATAAAATTTTTATAAACTCAAATTTTATCAAAAGTCTAGAACGATTTGTTACTAAAATAGGCAGAATCTATTAGAAATATTAGTGATAATAAAAATTTTTCTTTCTGGATTAATATTGCAGGAATTATTATTTAATCAGCTAAGAATATAATAAAATTTGGCTTCAATTCACTGATTAATAATTATAAGATTATTTTGTCACTTCGAAGGCAAATTTATTCCAAAGTTTATTGTGAACTTAAGAAACGAAATTAAATAAAAATAAGTAAAGTAAATTCATAAAAATTAGAATGATAATTAAAAGGCTATCGCAAATAATGGTAGAAATTTACAAATTTCATAAGAAATTTCACAATAAGCTACTATTTTAAACCTTATATTCACATTGATAATAATCAATTTCAGCAATTAATTAAATACCCTTGTTTCTAAAACTACATTCATTTATTATCTGATGGTGAAACAGTCTTGAACTAGAACTGAACCATAACAACACTAATGATAAATGGTATGATGGATGGTATAAAAGCGAGAAGGTTAAATCAAAGACCTGGCAGGGTCCAGCGAGATTCCAAAACTAATCCTATGATAAAGATATGGGATATAGGTGACTTTCTTATCTCTTAAATACTTTGTTGATGACTCAGTAACATCTCTTAATTTTCCTCGCTGCAATTTCTTTCGCTTAAAAAAGGATTATTAGTGAAAAACCAAACCGAAAAAAACATAATTAAATTAATTAAATTAAATTAATAAATTTGTAGATTTGAGAGAAAGATGATAGATCGCGTAGTGTAATAGTGTAGTGAAAAATCATGAAAAGAATTCAGGTCGAAAAATTCTTGTCGGTTCATTCTTTTTATAAAATTTTCAGGGTCGAATACCCGAACTTCTAATTTGCCATTCTCTTTAAAGTATTTCTACATAGTGGAGATTTAAAAAACACAATACATGAGCTTTTATGAATGAATACTCAAAATAAATTTAAATATGTTGCAAACGAAATTATAAAAACCAAAATTTTTAGCCTATATAGTTGATCCAGTTCAATCTGAAATTTTTTACTGCTGAAACGCATGAATTAACCGTTCCCCGTGAACAAAATGCCTGATTTTTTTGGAAAAATTAACGCCTACGATAAAATTCTGGATTTGAATTTTTCATTGAGAAGTAACCATTAAACCAATTTAATTTAGGTTTTTTTCCTCGATCTCATTTTTTTTTTGTTTTTTTTTATATGCAACAATGGAACAAATCGCATAGATGGAACATGTGTGGTAAAGGCTACCATTTTTGTTAGATTTCTGAAAGTACAATTTTCCAATTCTCTTAAGTTTAGTAAAAACTTGCAATTCTCTTCAAAGTATTTCTGCATAGTGGAAATTTCAGATTGAACTGGGTCAACTTGAAATAAATCTTCTGAATCCTTCGAAGGATAATTTTCATTTTTTAATGTCGCCGATTATTTTTTCACGTGTGCTTATACGCTTATGGAGTTTCACAAAATTGTTTCAGTTTATTTCCATGAGTTATTTATCAGCAGAATGTAGAGAAGAGGTACTTGCAGGTGACTTGAATGCTGATTATTGTAAAGGAGGAGCACATTCGGAAGTTAAAAATTGTGCCATTTTCAGTTTAAATTGGTTGGTTTTTTCACATTTTTTAAGGGTGCAAACAGGTTTCGCAAGGAGGCTGTTGTTTTATTTCACTGCTAATATTAGATTGCAAGAAATAATATAGTAGATTCTTCTAATATCACTCAACTTTTCTGGCATAGTTGCTAGAGTAAACTTTTTCGCTAGAGGGTCAGTCGGAGATAGAAGTGTAGGAAGTGTAGATGGGTCTCCACAATCAATTGAATTTTAATAAAAGGGCACACCGCGACCAAAAGGCATAGAGCAAACCAATGATTCTTGGAACTGTGGCCGAAACAACAAACCACTCATCCATCTTAATATGTCAAATCCATCCATATGACAAATCCATGAATGAAAGTGAAATAAGAAGACTATCGCAGACAGTATAAACTATCTAAGCCATATTTTTTACCATCAGTTTTGCATCTCTCAAAAAACATGGTTTCCAAAAAGTAAAAAACCAAAATAAATATTGTTATATAGCAGGTCCAGCTTACTATTTTTGAATATTTTAAAAATATGTTAACAATGCATTTTAACTGTGGGATTGAGAATCATACACCGATTTTCGATTTTCTGCGCTATATGAGAAGGCTGAGAAACGATAATTATTGTAGAATTCTCATAAAGTTCGATAAGGATTGTTTTTTTTTTTTTTTAAATGGATAAAAATGGGTTCTTTCATCTAAAAATATGGTTAACAACACTAAAAAATAAAGTAAGGAATGGTTGTCTAGAAAATAAGCTCACTCAGTAAGATAGATAAAATTCGATGAAATAGAATAAACTTGACACTACGTTAATAATAATTAATGATATGATAAAGTTATATATTATTAGTTATTATTTATATTAGTTATTGATAAGTATTATCATTATCATTATAAAGTCTTTGCTTCAAAGGAATTCAAATAAATCCTTAATTTGGGAGGCGTAAGCCGACTGCCATATATTTTCTATTTTAACTTATAATTGCATGAAATTGCATGAATGAAAAATAAAATTCTTCATTCAACCTTTAAAGAAATATGAAGGAATTATTAGAAAAAAATATTTTTTTTAAAAATTTTGCCAGAAAGCAATGTCAGTCAAATCATTAGTAACAATCAGGTTTCGATTATATCTCTGATATGATCATGTGATTAGTCAAACGATATTAAAATGGATAAGACGGTTAACTATCTTTCGCGATTCGTTTAATCATCAATCGTTTCAAAATCAAAATTCGCATTTATTCTAGCGCATAAGAAAAAAAAATTTATTAATAGTAATAATTCTCAAAAAACAAAAGAAAATGCCGCAGGGGATAATTGGCTTGTGGCGTCTATAGCGACACTGCTTTTTGGTCCTTCGATGCCCGTCCTTCCTATATTGCGAAGCGAGATTCGCCAAACGTTCGATATTCCCCCACCAATAAAATACAAAAGTTTTTTTCCTTATATTTATACCAAACCATTAAGCATAATTTAATTGCGAAATGCAAAAGAAAATTATGCGATTTAAAATTAATGGAATAATTACAGATAAATTATAGATAAGGCGAGATAAATTAAAAGACATTTCCAATCTTTAATTCGTTTTAATATTTTTTATCGTTTTAATATTTTAATATTTTCATAGAAATATTTTAAACCAAACCTTAACCACCATATATACAAAAATATGTTACAGGACTGCAGTGTATTCTCTTAATTTGTAAGTAATTTGTGGCAAACAATTAAAACAAATTGCCATGAATTACTATTATTTTTTTAAAGTAAGTGTAAATAGGTTAAAAGATGTTTCTTAAGAATTTCGGTAAGAAAGCAAAGTTATTGGCATACATTTCGGTGGCTTATCGGCTTTACTGGTTTTGTCCTACTATGGTATGCTTTTCATGTTTCTCTAATATACTGCTTAGAGTTCTGCAATAAAAAATCAAAGAACTTTTAATAAAAACTTAAAAATCATTTCGATGATTGTCTAATACAAATAAAAAAATAATAATAAAGAGGATTGATGAAGCAAAAGCAAAATATTTGTTTCAAGGTTCCCCTCACCCCTCTATATCTATTTAGATCTCAATTTATAAAAACTGTATCAATTAATCAAACTTTCTTCAAAATAATGTCGCATTTCCGATTATCAAAAGATATAATAACTTAAAAAATGATGGATCAACAGAAAAATGCTATAAGCTTAAAAAAATGAACATTAAAATAAAATAATCATATTATAAAACAATTCCATAGGAACCAGTTCAATACGTGATATCAAGAAACCAGTTTTAAAATGGATAAGTACAACAAGTCTTAGCCAAAGCATTACTAAAAAATAATAGAATGGGCATATTAAATATAACCTATTCAATATTACTATCTGGATAACAAATATCACACTTTGGTAGGGAGCTTTTTAAATACTGCAAAACTTCTGTCTTCTTATATACTCGAGGTAAATCTCGAAGTAACAGGAACTGTAGATTGCTGAAATGGATTGATAATGGAAAAGACAACAGCATGGCAAGAAGTATTTTTGCTTTCATACCATTCAATAATTAATATTTTTAGAAAATTTATTTTTTATTATTTATTCACTTTGATTACTTTCCACTTATAAAAATTATTTTCCAACTGTGAGAGCTTTATTCCTTTTTCTTTTTCCCTTCTGATAAAAAAATTATGGAATGTCAAAGTTCTACTGGGAAACACGGTCAACATTACGTCGAAATTTCAGCGAAAAAAAATTAAATGAAATATGTTTACCTGCAATTACCAAGAAACCGTAACCCATATTCTGTAACCTTCGGGCAACTTTCTATACGGAGTTTTTCAAGTGTACCACAAGTTAGCCTCGAAACTTTTTCTACACCCGTGTCATCGAATGCTTTACAGTGAATAAAACATATTTCTTTGATTTTTTTCAAACCATCTATAAATAATGCAAACATTTTAATATTTCAATGAAATTGGACGAATGGGAAATTGAACAATACAAATCCAATAAAAAATGAAACAATTCGAAAACACCTGAAAAATCCATGTTGGTAATACATTCATGAAAAAAAAAACGAACATAGATGGACACATCCTCTGCCACTAATAGATGAATGTATTGCACTGATACTAATTATATGCACTTGATGCTGGGGTAATTTTGGATCTAAGCAAGATGTTCGTCGGAGTAAATCGTTATAATTTTCGATAAATTCATCCCACACATCGAATCTGAAACAAATGAAACATTCATATCTTGGTTGAGCATATCAGCCAAATGCCACTCACCAAGAAAAGAAAAAAAATAAAAAGAAGAAACGTTTTATATTTTCGAATTTTTCAAAATTATTAAAATTATGATTAAAATTCACTAGCTGGCAAAAATTCAAAAAACAAATCCACAAAAGAATAACCTCACTTTTCCTTCACATCGAACAACCCATTCTGCTGCAGCTCGATCAGGACCAACTTCACGTACTCGATCATCATCGTAGCTTAAAAACTCCTTTGAATTCAAATTTGTTCTCTTCAAAAAAAAAAAAAATCTAAATTCACTTCTCATACTAATTCACACCGTTTCACCTACCAATAAACGAATCCAATTTCCATTTGAAGATTTTCTGCCCTAAGCACATTCATAACAACTACTCTACCACTTCAACAAAAACACCAAATATGCAAAAAATTTCCTACCAATTCATTTAATGATTTAAAAAAATAGAAATATGGAAAAATCATAAATAAAAAAATGCGCCGACTGATTGAATCCATCCAGCAACCAGCGAAGACCGAAGAGCTCATGGGTTGCAAGAATTTTCCGGAATCGATTCAAAAATGCAATCTTAGAAGCCATAGTTAACTGAAAAGAATTGTTTTACACCATTTAAAAAGATCGAAAGAATTCATAAAAGTGAAATTGTAAAAAAAGCACTTATTTAGCGTTGAACGAATATTTTCAGCTGATAAATCCATTAGAAATATAAATTCAGTTTATTTTGAAATCAATACAAAAAAGTCTATAGCAGTAATAAGTTTAGCAAAACCACGTAATCAACCAGAATTTTTACAAAAAATGAAAAATGTTTTTGCTGGCTTGAAACCAGCACCGTTCATTTTGTTGATAACTGGTAACAAATAATAATTAAAATGAATAATTGTTTAAAAGAAAAAAATTCAACATTATAAACGAATTAATAATTAATAAACTAATAATATGAACTGAACAAATTATTAAAAAAATGATAGGCAATAAGCAAGTGGAAAAATCGAAATACAATGAGCACAATTCAAAAAAATACTAAAAATGAAAAAAAAAGAGATCATAAATATCTTTGAGGAATCCATTCACAATTAGGTTCGCGTTTTCGAGCCAGATCTGCAGGAGTTACAGCTGGAAAACTTTGGTGTAGCATGAATTCTCGGATGGCCCAACGTAAAGATAAACGCTTATTTTCTCCAGGAATAGGATGCTTTGCCCATTCCTTCATGTAGAGTTCATGTTTTTTAACTGGATCGTGTTTAAATGGTAAACATCCTGGACGAAGATTGTGTACGCTCCGGATAGCTTAAATTATAGAAAACAGAAATGAAAAAAAGGCAAAAAATATCTCTCTACCGACAGAAAAAAGATTCGATAATTAAGCGAACAAAAAAGGGCTCAGCATCAATTCTCTCATGAATAAAATGCTGAAAAATAATTAACCATGAGTAAATACGATATGTATTGATTAATGTAATAAAAATTCAGGAAAAAGTAAAAGGAATAGAAATAAATTACAAGGATCTACAAATATCTCTTCTTCTGCTCTGGCAAATTCTTCTGATGCTGTTGAAGGACTGTTGTCTATAAAAATTTTTATTTTAGTTCATACAGAAAAAATAAATGTATTCTTCCAATCATATATAGCAAATTACTTTTCATTAAAGAGAATAAAATGAGATATGATTTATACTTACAAGATAATATTTGATTTTATTGATCTTGACTGTATGAAAATTCATGACCTTTCATTAAATTTAAATAGTACCAGAGGTAATGGAGAGGGAATGTATCTGCATTCGTTGCATTAACTGATGGAATAAACTATCTACTGAGGTACTTTTTGCCTCACCAATATTTAATTTCAATTTTTTGAACTGAACTAATTGTCCATGCCACCATTTAGTTCAAATAGTATCCTCGATTCACTGACTTATAGTGAAACTACTCCTTTATTATTAGTACTGTTTGGTATTTATTTTTCATTAACATTTATTTTTCCTTTTTTGATCGTTACTTTTTGCGAAGCAAACGCAGTATTTGATCGTTTAAACAAATAAAATAAATTAATACTGTGAGAAAAACAATCTTTATATCTATCAACATTTTTCTTTAATTACTACCAATAAAAAAGTTTCCACGGCGACACTGGCTTCAAATTTTTCAACTAACTTTGGCAATGCTCATTGACCATTTTCTTAGTTTCGATAGGATGAAATGGATTCGGAATTGTAGACCTTTGCACCATTTCAATCTAACAAGCAAAAAATTAATGCAAAAAATCAAACAAATATCTACGATGTTCCAAATGAAAAACTTTACCAACTACGAATCAGCCACAGACAAAAGAGAAATGGCATCATAAGAATATTTATGGAGTATCAAAAAAATTTTCCTCAAAATATGTAATTGAATGAATCAAGTAATGAAAAAAAATAAAACAAATTAAAATCAAAACTACCAAATTAGCTATTGCATCATTTTGTGAGCACATTTCGTCGAAGCATCTATAACCTTCACCAATTAAACGGTCTATTGCATTCAAGTCAAGGAATTCACTGTTCTGCAATTTAAATGAACAAAATTATCATCCAATAGCGACGTAATCATAACTTTTAGATAAACACTCAAAATAAAATGCAATTGGAAAATATAAGGAAAATAAATTGGAAAACCACATTATTGTTATATGTTTGAGTTGACACATCCCTGAAATTAACATTGCCCGGTTCCATCGTATTTGAAACTACTGAATTCGAATTAGAAAGTTCATAACGAACTGAATTTGTTTCATTTTCCTTTTCATCAGTCCAAATACCTTGCCGAAAAAAAATTTTTAATGCATTTATAGCCACATAAACAAAAATTCTTGATCATCAGCAATAAAAAATACTGAAAAAGCAAAAGACAAAAACCGCAATAAAAAAATAGAAAAAAAAGTAAAATAAAAAAACTATAATCTTAAAGGCCAAAAAGAATTACAATTACAATTACAAATAAGAAATTATAAAGAAATTAAGCAATAACCAATAATGATGTAATAAACTGTAATAAACTGATATATATACCATAATTAAATAAAACATTTTGGATATCCAGTATAAGAAATAAAAGAAATGAAAAAAGACAAAATAAAAACAAAAATCAAAAAATTCTAAATGAAAAACATACGATTAGGACTAGATGTAACCAAAACACCATTATGGTACCGAATTGAAGAAAATAAAGCATTATCATGACCGTTATTTCGATCGTTTCTTAACTCTTCATTCATAAATTTGTCCAGTTCTAGAACGTAAAAAAAAAAATTTTTTTAAAAAAATAATTGACCTTAGGGAACTATAGAAAATTTTTAGATAAACGACAATACAAGAAGATCGACAAAATTAAAAGACGAAAAAAAAAATTTTGATCCGAAAGATGATTCTAAACCTATGAAACCTAAACCAATTTTAAGGCGGAAAATACAGCTGGAAAGCGACTGGTGATTAGTTACTTAACCTATGAAAAAAACTTGAAGAAATCATTACCATGAAATCATTAAACTTATAGCTTTTACCATAAGCTTGAAATATTCGAGAAATATTAAGGAAATTTATTCAAGAATGCAATACCATTACATTTTCTTTTCCTTCGAATAGCAATCACCATTTCTAATTTGTCTAATTCAACTGACTATAGAATGAAAATCTTCCGCCACATAGAGACATTCAGTGAGAGAGAGGCGAGTACCACGCTCTCGGATAAGAATTCCCCACCACACAGAGACATTCAGTGAGAGAGAGGCGAGTACCACGCTCTCGGATAAGAATTCTCCACCACACAGAGACATTCAGTGAGAGAGAGGCGAGTACCACGCTCTCGGATAGGAATTCCCCGCCACGAGGGAAGGTAACTTAAGGATTACACTACATTGTGAATTCGAATAAAATAAAAATTAGAATTAAGAGAAAACCAATTGAAAACCGACCTCTTTTGAGTGAACGAATTTCTTTCTCCGTAATTTTGTATCCCATTTCGTTTATTTCAGCCAAAAGATCCTCTTCACTCGCGAAACCATCCATAATTGACTGAAATTAATTAAAATAGATTGCTTAATTTTTATTTTGGCTTAATGCCAACTTTGCTGTTTTCCGCGCGAATTTAAAACGACTTATTTTGACAATTCATTTCAGTTGTCTCGTTCCTTTTATATATGCTTAGAGCCAATTCTGATATTTGGATGTGAAATTCTGTAAAGAGCCATACGGAGGACGGTGTATATATAAGTATAGATATCTATAGGTGTAGAAAATTGGAAACTATAGAAAGGACACCTCGATGACCGAAGGACCATCGTCTGTTTACGGCGAAATGAGCCGCTCCTTTCCTTTCCTACTACATTCTTCGATGTCCCCAGTCACTGTTCATCTTCTGCAATTTAATAACCTGCGAGGTTTAAAGGAGTGTTAAGGTGACGAAGTGGAAATGGGTGGTATTAAAATGCAGTAGATGTTACTAATGGACCACGGCTGGCGAGAATAGCGAGGTTTCGTAGAGTTAATGAGATATTCGGCAGGAAGGCTTCTCCAAAATAGGCTTCGGGCTGCATCAGCGAGTCCCAACATGATTAGGATTAAGCAGTATAGCGTATTTTTGAGCAACGTAAACAAAAGGGAGCAACGCAGTCTTCGCAGCACGTTAGGCTGCCATTGCATCGATTTTGTAAGATTCGATTTTGTAATTTGAAGAGAAGGAAAATAATGCTGTTTGGGTCGAAATACATCGACCAATCTCAAGCAGGCACCACCTAGAATTTGATATCGACCAGATCCTGCTTGCTCCATATAACTTGCCCCAGGGTATGTCCACATATTCTGAGTCATGAGCCATGTATTTGGTTAAAATGAATTTTAGATTAACGTTTGGTATTGTTAAAGTCTTATGGTCCTAACTGGCGCAAATTTATCACTGATATTCGGCCTTATAAAATATGCCTTGTTTGACTTACTGCCTGCAAAAGTGACCAGGTTTATTATTATCTCCGTTCTCCGTATAAGATTTATATGAAGTATGGCTTCTTGCACTTTTCCTCTATTGTGATGCTAGGCAGAGATTTCGCTAGATTATGATAGAATATTTCATAATAGTTCGTGTGGGCTAAAAGATAGTGGATGGTGATGTTTTGGACGATGGCTTCCTGTATTATTTTGTACTGTATTTGAATGTCGTTGGAAAACTCAGCTTCAGAGAAGCGGTAACTAGCTATTTGGCAATCTCCCTTGTTACGCGAATATTTTCGTGTGCTGAGTTTAAACAACTATTCACTTCTATCAACAGAAAGATGTCCAACAGAAAGATGTCATTTGAATTTGAAATAAATAAGAGATTTCCGGAAATATTATATCTAGTCGATTTTCCCATTGCTAAACCACGTTTTGTCTGCAATATTGTCTCGACCAGTGGAAAATAGTTCCTTTGGTTCCTTATTAACAGGCTATGCATGTCTTCTAGCAATAGGCCAACTGAATTTTTTCGAATGTGAACAACAGTGCAATCGCAACTTTCTCATATTGTCATATCATTGTTCACATTGGAGTGTAATAATGATATCGAAACATTCATGTTTAAGCGTGTTATTAATGGATGTCTCTTATTGTATGGAAAGTCAGAAACCCTGCTGCGTCAGCTGTGGAACTTAAAACTCAGACTAAAGGTGGGATGCTTTAACTGAGCTAGTAAAGCCCCAGCATTTAGTCCTTTCATTCCCTTCTTGATTTGTTGTCTTCGAATACGTATATAATATATAAGAATAATAAAAATATCTGTCCTAATGACAAGTAGAATTGCCTTCAAGATAAACCACCTAAGAAAAGCTGTTCCTCAAAATTCTTAATACCTTACTGAGCTTTACTGTTTCTGCATCCCACAAATCCTCATAATCCACTCTCAATACTTCAATCTTCGATGATCCTTTGTCGCTCTCAGCCACAATTATGCTTTCTTTACAGTTTTGTGGTTTACGACCGCAGGGAAAATGCATTTCATCATTTGGAAGAGCGGTGTTATTAAGGAGTTACAGCTGGAAATTGAAGGAACAAAAAGGCGCTTAAGATGCCAATATTAGCGGATAAAAGGGTAAGAAGGTGTTAAAATGATGTTGTTTGGAAAGGTTTTTCACATAGCAAGTTGATAAAATTATAAATCAGAATAAAGTAAAGTAAAAATAGTCGGAAAAAAATTGATATGAATTTTTTCATTTCGCATTGTTCAACTCGATTTGTAAATCTTATAATATTCCACTGCTTAATTCTTTTTTTTTTAAACAGGTTCACTTTTTCTTTCTAGGATTTTTACAAACTAAGTTCCATGATGTAAATGAGAATGTAGCGCTGAAGAAACGGGTAAAATTCGCACAATTCAAGCGTATACTACAGTTTTCTCGATTAAATTTTGCAAAATTTGAACCCCACTGTGAATTAAATTGAAAAACGAAGGCAGGACTGTATGCATTAAATAATATATTGTTCTAAGAAACCTATAATTTGAATATTATTATTTAAACACTAAATTTTATCGTTCTAAGGACAAAATCAACTGAAAATTTTATGAAATATTTTCCTTCCCTAACGAAGAAAGTTTCAATTCAATGGAGAATCTTCATCGAATAAATCGGTACAGAGTATATGAATCGAATTAAAATACCATATATTGACCCAAACTTGATCTTGCCGATATGACCTCATTCAACCGTTCTTCCTTAGTCTTTTGTGTAAAAATCCACCAATATGATTTCTTTCGCTTATTATATAATACATTTAGGGCATTAGGGAATTTATTTTATTCTATTCTATTCCATCATTCTTCGTACAAATAAGCTAATTTCAATCCAAAAATCAGATTAAATCTGTATCGAAGATTGTTATTTAACTCGTTTGTCGGAATACAATAAACACCATATTAACTATACAAATGTACAATTTAGAAATATGGAAATATTTCGAACGATCATGCACCATTAGAGTGAACTTTTTTGTGCCACCCATATAGACAATATTCACCACATAAATAATTGATTTCCATTCTTATTGCATAAACTACCAACAATAGTGATAATAGTGATGATCCAATTAACAAGGACGATCGTGGACCACATTCAATTCCGTTAAATTTTACTATTCGATCGTGCAGTTTAAATTTTATAAGGTGATTAAATCTAATAGAATAAAACCTATTAGTTTAGCGGGCTATTGGCAGCGGGTTTTTTTATGAAAAATTTTATTCCTAGTCATAATTCATCGGTACTTCTACTCGCAATTTTTCTGTGACGAAAGGACTTTAGAGAAGTCAACCGAGCTAAGAATGTTGCGTACTATTAATAGAAAAGTCTTACCTAGTTTATACTTTGATTGAATTTGCTTTTATCATTTGTAGACAAGTTAGAGGAAATATTTGATGAATTTTGTTGACATTTTGAAAAGTAATGGCGAAGGAAAGATAACTAAAGTTGACAATTTGATTTTTTTTATTGTCACACTATTACAAAAAAAATAAACGGTTATTTCTTACTTTTTTGTCTTTTTTTTACCACTTAATGCTATTCTTTGAAGATGAAAGTAGAAAATTTTAGATGAAAATTAAAGGCAGAGTAGAAGGCGTTTCTTTTTGGTAGGGACAAAATTCTTTTAAACTTGCACCATTGCTGGTTAGACTCGCTCCGCTGGTTCGTCCGATTAGACAAATGTGCCAGGGAGTCTCTTGGCGATGGAAATACAGGTGATTCGCCAGCATCATCCCGATAAAAATATGATTATTCTTATAATTTTCGAAAGAGAAATGCCCAAAGAAAATGCAAAAGTTTGGAACTGTAATTTGCGTTATTTGCCCAATAATTGTCGTATTAAAAATTATTACGACAAAATTACGATAAATATGGCTTTGCTTTTTACAAACTCAAAAATTTATGCTCCTAAACACTATTGCAATCTGAAAATCACTACTGAAATGTGCTGAATCCAAATATTTACTTCATTTCCAGTATTTTATTACACGATTATATCGTTGTGATCTGAATGAAGTCGTCGTTAGTGAGTCGCAAAAGCACTGTCGACAAAAACTAATCCAATCATTGGTTGGAAAATTGGTTAGAAATAAAGAATGTCGTAAACATAAAATTGGTAGAAATTAAATTGTTAAAAAAATTTTATCGAATGTAATCTAGCAAATTGATCATTAAAAAAGTAAAATTATACACGTTTCGTTTCGTGGAATGTATAGGCAAATTGGTGCGCCAAATTGAAGACAGCAGAAATTTCTGTAATAATGGCAATGAATTGGCTTACTGGAGAAAATTTTCAGAAATACTCGATGTTGCACGCTTATCTATTATTATTACTATTAGCAAATGCCAAACCATTTCTACTTCCATCTGGTAACAGATGTAATTGCCCACAAACACCAGCTTGCCCATCTGTTGCAGAATGTCCCTCTGTACCACCACCGTGTCCCGTCAATCCTCCATGCTTTGCTAGAGGCGAAAAGACTTATCACCCGAACGATGGCGCTGCCTCTGTAAGTCGCTTTTATTTCCATAATAAATACGTAATTTCTCGATCATTTAAAAAACGATTTTTCAAAATTCAAAATTGATTTCGGAATTTCTAAATTATACTGAAAATGCAATGAACCTTGCATTCAGGCAATGAGATTTATAAATGATGTGAATACTGCCGAGAACTTTGATGGCGATTTTGAGATGGACAGAGATCTGGCAAAGTTGTCTCAAGATAATGAGTTAAATAATCTTGACGTGAGCCATCGATATTTGCTTTTAAGCATAAATTTGAGCAAGCCAAAATTTCCAATTTAAAATGGAAAACCAAAGGGCAAAACTAATTTTAGATTTCGAAATTTTAAAAAATAATAAATTTAATTTGATGGTTGATTAGAAGTAAATAAATAAGGGGAAACTGAGGACTCTGAGGAGAAACAGAAAGGAAACTTTGGATTGCTGGTTATTGGATACATTATTAAATATCAAACAAATTCAAAAATGGTAGTTTTTAAACTATTAAAAATATCAGAAAAGCACGAAAATATTCAAAGACCTACAGAAGTTCCCTTTTAGGAAGATGATTCTGATCTGCTTGCGGCTAAATATGGCCGAACCTACCGATTAGTCAAACGCAGCAGCGAAACAACATCGCCTGAATCAGTTCTCCCAACAGCTTCCGATATAACTAATAGTAATAGTAAAATCAATCAAAACACCAAATGCAACAGCCCGCTTCTCAAACAAATTATGCTTGAAGTAAACGTTTTCACTTATTGTTAAAAATTCTGAACTAAAAATTGTTATACGACTGCCCTTTTCAACTATGTCACCTTTAAATTAGTTGACATCAGTCTTGAGCAAGCCAAAATTTCCCTCGCAGCCATTCCAAAATCCGAACTAGTCCTGGGAAATATTCTATCATGCAGACCTTAAAAATTTAAGAAACAATGTTACGAAATCCATGTAATGATGCCTCACACTTAGTAAATCGGAAGTCTTTACCTTCTTTTCATCCCACATTCGACAGAAATCACTTATCCATAAATCTCTATCCCTGAACTCTAGAACTGAATATTTCAAGTCCTTAAACTGTTGTTAGCTCTTAAAAGCGTAAAGAACAGCATAAAACAGCACTGACAATCGAGTGCATGACCTTTCCAACCTAAAGATGCTTTTCTTTCAGAGCATTAGAGAATCATCATCTGTTTCGAAAATAGTTATTAACAGGAATGCAGAAAAACAGTTCGGTGGAAACATAGATGTTATCTGTTCAAAAGGTCATTTTTCGTACGTCTATACCTCAAACCTTTATTGTGAGGCAACCAAAGGTGATATTACCTGTATTGCATTCCGACAATACCACTAGAAAAGATTTTCTTACAAATTATTTTCAACAAGAGATCATCATTGCTAGAGCGCTTGAACTTATTTTAGCTTATTTATTTTCATTATCTCAAGGTTTTTTTCAAATTTAATTCATCTTTTCCATGTAGCCTATAAAGAGTATAAAGACAGTTCGCTTCAATTTATCTCTTCTCTCACTTCACTAATATCGAAAACCAATCGTATAAGATTTTTATTCATAACTACCAGTTTATCAAATAAAATGATAAGATTAATGATACGCAGTAATTTTATAAATTTGATGAAAATGATCGGATGTTTATCACCGTTTAAAGTAATTTCTTAATTTTTTTTATCCATTCATTCTTCACGAATAGAACGTTGTAAATTACATATTCTGCATTCAATCCATTTGCTTATTATACTATGCAAGTTTTTCGAATTCAATTGCATCTTTTCTTTCTGAAACAAATTCTTAATATACTTTTTTCTTGCTGTAATCAACAAATTCAATTCTTTTTTAGCGCGAGGATAAAATAATTTTCATTTAGATAAAAATATGGAACGCAACAAACTCGAATTCAATGACTGTATTATATCTAGCTGAGAGATATAACTTCAAACAAATAGTAAATGAATAGCATTTTTCTTTTTCATACCACAGGTATAGTGTCCAATCTACACCTGATAAACTATGGGATAAAATAAAAATAATACCGATGAAAAACTTCGGATATCGTTTGAATACTGTGGTTGCAAAGAGCAGTTTTTCCAATCTTCTTCAAGCCATTCATAAGGTTTTCTGAATAAATTAAATAATAAACCACCAATAAAACAAGATAAACAAGATAATGTTGCTTATCGCTATATCCCCAGATTATGCCAGTAGGATAGCAAGATTTATAAAAAAATTTGAGACGCAATAAACTAACTTAGTGATTATTTGAGAATTTAATCGAGAACGCCCCACAGATGGCAAACCATTACGTAAATGACACGCCAAAGTCGCAGCTAAAGGATGTTGATGCTGAAAGAAAAAAAATCTAAATCTAAACTAAAAATCTAAATTATGATTATGAAAATACTTCCAGCCTTATTTTTTCACCATTGATGTCTTCATAAAAAAAAAGAATGTTGAGATGCACGCAAGCATGAATATTTAAGAATAAAAATAAGAACACAGAAATGAATGGTAACTATGTTGAAAATATATGGCAGCGAATATCTTTTTTCTAATACCGCTCATCAATATGAGTTAGACTCGTTTCGCTGGCTTAATATTCGACCAGATAAAAGTACAAGTAAGTCACCAGAATCATCTGGATTTTACAAAGCTTACTCCTGTCGTAAAATTTCAGTGCAACCTACTGAACCATTCTATTTCTATTTAAAAAATAAATGAAATTTAACGAGGATTTCTTCTTTATTTTTCTTTCAGATTTAAAATTTTGAAAAAATACATTAATAATTCTAACTAATCTGACTAGTGATTTCATATTATGACTGAAAATATAAACCAAAAAACCAGCTATTTTTATGTGAATCATAATATATGTTATTGAATTTTTTTAACGTAAAAGAAATTATACTTTCGAAAGAATTTCTAATTCCGCTATAATACTGGATGTTTGAGCGTTTGAGTAATCAGGATCATCAATAGAAGCATTAAAATTTCCACCGCAGTAGATCCCTTCACTTTCTTCAACGAGAGATAGCAAATTCGGATGGCTCTATATAAAGTTAAGTCAATGTAAAAGAAGACGAAAGAAACAGCCATTATTGTCTACTCATTTAGCGGAAATGAAGATATATAAAAATTCCAAATAAAAAAAGAAACCAACAATCAAAAATGAGCGTATAACCAGTAAGACACCAATTACACCATGACAAGGTAAAAGAAAAGTAATCGCCAACAATCTCTTAATGAAAGCCGCAACTCTACCAGGTGAAACACACTTCCGTCGAACATTAAACATAATATTAAGTGAACGCAAAGTTAAAGACAAAATTCGACCAAGCACAACTGAAATAAACGCATGATAAAGCGCAAATAAAAAATTTTACAAAGAAATGCAGAAAAAAAACCAACCAGGATCACTTTCAAAGGGAATACCAGGCAGTAGCCTATATAACAATCGATAGAATAAAAATGGATCGACGTTTATTGCAACACCTTCGCCAGATAGAATAATAAATACAACATAAACACAATGTAGCGAATCAATTAGCCGCAAACGCTAAAATCCAAAATTCAATTAGCTAAAATGATGACCTAACTTTTGAAACCTAATGGATGTATTATCATTTCTATTTTGCAAAACCTTTTTTAGGCATAGGCATCGAATCAACGAAAAAAAGCAACCGAATTATTTTTTTAAGCCTTTCCGTCACTTCATTAATAACAATAAGGCAGACTAGTTATTTCTATTTTTGATTTGCTAAATCACTTAGTAATTTAAAACCGATTACAGACGACCAGTTCCGATCAACTTTCTCAAAAAATAAAAAAATTAAGCAATTTTGGAACTTTAAATTTTAACCAACCTGTTGTTCAACAAGAGATTCAAGGGCAAAAACAATATCATTAAAAAATTCGATATTAATCAAGTGAGCAAATTTACTAAGCCCTTCGAGTACTGGACTCAAAAGTTTCGTGGTAGGCATTCTCTTTATTATTCGGAAATAGGTAACAAATACATGGTTCATTGTTTCCGTGGCCTGTAACACTAAATACGACTTCACGAAACTAAAAGTTTCTTATGCAACTATACTGGACAGCATATTATTAAATATGCGACAGTGACTAACAAATTTATCTCTTTTGCGGAAAGACTCCTGAGCTTCAATTTCTTTGAGATCTGCTTCGAGTTTCTTCAGTTGTTTTATGTACTGAAAAACATTTATCATAAAAAAAGGATAAATGAAGGGTTTATAAGTTATCTCTTTGCCTCAAACATTTATCGCTTAATTACTAGGGACTTTAAAATGGCTTTTTAAAAAAGTCAAAATATTTTCCAAATTTGACCCGAATCCTTCAAGCGATCTTGGAACAAAGACATTTTTAATTCAGTGCTGTTCCATTCTAATTAGAAAAAAAAAATTTTAATGTTTTTCCATTCGCATTTGCGTTCCACAAGTTAGTGCATTTACGATTACTAACAATGTTAGTGTTAACTAATGTATAAGAAGACAAAATGAATCAACCACATTCAGAAAATATATTTTTTACCTTTTGTTTGCTCTTTGATGCTTTTTCTTTGTGTAATTTGACTTTTTTTCCAAAGATCCTTGTTTTCTCTCTCTTCTTATTACTGTCGTTGTTAACTTCCTTGAAAAATAGCAAAAAAAATTTGAAAAAAGTAAAAGCTCCACGCAACAATTGACGGTTAAAGGCAATCAAACAAAAACCTTTATTTTTAGCTTAAGGAAGGTCGAAAGAAGTTCTGGAGGAACATTACATTTCTTCCCAACAACAATTTTTGCGATAGAACCAGTTCCATATGCAGATGTCTCAAAAACAATATCATTTTCGAACAAAGAGCCCAGTGTAGAGCAGGATTCTTTCACTACCTAGAAAATTTATATAAATATTTGTATAGCAAAAAATTATTGCAGATGTGATATCTCATACAACATGTATAATACAACATGTATTCAAGTATTTCATATTTGTATCAATGTCTCTCTATGCTTCAAAATTTTTTAAATATTAGATTCCACCACAACCAAATCATTGTTAAATTATAACATATTTTTAAAGACAAATAAAACATAAGGCCAGAAAATTAAAAAAAAATCTCAAAATTATAAACGGTTTATATAACGGTTTATAACGGTTTAACGGTTTATTTTAAAAAATATCATAATAGTCCACAAAATCCTGTTGAGACCAGTATCCTCTTTTCTGAATTTTTTGCTATATTGATTTAAATTGAAATAAATAAAATACTTCTCTTACCGCAGGAATGTTGCAAACCGCAAGCCGAACAATTAAATCAATAATTTTCGTTGAATAATTGAAATGTGGAGTGGAAAGTACAATACGACACAGACATTTTAGCGAAAGCATAGCCTTCTTTGTTAAATCCGATTCTTCCATAGATTCCTTTTTCCCTTTCATAAATACTACAGAAATGATGTACTGTTTGTTAATTTAACAAATATTTAATAAATAAAAAAAAATATTTTTACATACTTGATACGTTTTTCTCCAATATTTGAAGGTATTTTACATAAATTTTCAAAAACGCTAGTTCATATTCTAAGAACTTTTTTGTTTCTTTCTTCATCTTTTGAGCCAACTCATCTTGCGTCGGTGTGCTGGAAAAAAGGAAATTATCCAAATTAAATGAAACAAAATGGAGCGAAAAACTTTAATTTTGTGGGAACAACTGAAAAAAAATTCTCATTTTCAAAGGATTTAAGAAATTTCAAAAAATCGTAAAATACATACCGAATATGATAGCCAGGTATGAGGTCAACAAATACTTGCATGAGAGATGCTAGAGCCAATGGAATAACTCCATTTTTCGCGAGTGAATGTACATTTTCACCAGTGCAATAACGCAGCAATTCATGCAATTTTGAAATCTAAAATGCTCAAAATATGCATTATTTCATTTTCTTAGAAATTTACAGAAATTGTTGTAAAAAAGTAGGAAAAATTTTACCTCATTTTGAGGATCAGCCAAAATTTCATAACATGAATTACATATAACAAGTTTCGACGAATTTATCAACTCCTTCCTTTTAGCTAATAGTTCGGCTGCTGTTAGAGTCGAATAATCTAGCTGTTTTTCGGGCTCCTTTGATTTGTCTTTTTCCTCTGAAAGAAAAATTTACATTTATGATAGTGGAGTTAATGGACATTGAAATAAAGGACAAAAAAAGAAACCTTCTTGCATTCCATCCTCATCGCATTTATTAATTAAACGAGACTGTTTCACCAACTTTCCACCAACTTTAACTGGTAATAATTCATGAAAGTCTGCATCAGGTTCACCTTTAAAACGCCTTGGTTTAGTTTCAATATCACTGAAATCTTCGGCAATATCACCTAAAAATATCATTGAAAGAAAGAAGCAGTACCTTGGTAACAAATAATATTTAATAAGAACGTTCCAAATCCTAAACTCGTTCTATCGAAGTAGAACCAGAAATGAAAACCACGATGCTGGCAAAATTCTAACTTACAATCTATGAATTCGCAGTCCAAAAATTTTCTAAAAATTGAACTGAATATAAAAATTTTAAATATTAGTGTGCACCATGAAGTTAACATATAGATACAGAAAAAAACTCACACATACGCCTTATTTTTTCCGCAAAAGCACTGTTTTGCCAGTCAATGTCTGCGTCCATCATATCTAAAGGAATATTATCATCATCACATTGGTCTTCCATGACCTTTTTTCGATCTTCAAGCCAGTCTTCTTCAATCTATAATAACCTATTTTTTTCGTATTTTCGACCTTAAACGATAAAATGACAGTTAGAAATTAAGAAAACCTTGGTAAAGGTGGAAAATAACCGAAAAGCTTAAAACTACTCATAGAAATGAGGAAATGTGGCACCTTCCCGTTGAGCCATATTGTCGTTGTTTTAGGAAAATCTAAAGGCAAAATATTGGAACGCCTTCAAGTCTCTCCGCCTCCTTTCTTTCGTCACTGCTAGTTTACTTTCCAAACGATTCTTTTTTAAGAGCGTCATCACTGCTAGTCAGACTCGCTCCGCTATCTTTTCGGACCAAATTTTTCGCCAGGAAATTTGGCACGTGAATCGACCATCAGCATCACTCCGATGACAATTATATCCATTTTTTAATAAAAAAATAGTAAACTTACATTTATAGCCATTCTTCTTTTTTTCGCTTGTCTTGTTGCTTTAATATTACAAAATGCCTCTCGTACGTGACGTTTTAATTTACCCGATTTTTTTAATCGATTTAATCTTTTCGTTATTTTTCTACGTTGTTTTCGTTGTTGTAAAGCATTCTCTTTGCTTTCCTTCATAATTCATAGAAACAATATATTTGTGAAAACCTAAAATTGTATTTCAGAGAAATATTTCAAATTTTTATAACAAATGAATAAAATAAAAAAAACAACAAAAAATAATCAAATAATATAATTTCTTTCCGATTTTTTAAAAACAGAAAAACAGAGGCGAAAATCCCCACTCCAAAATTAATGGTACCCCACTTTATTCTAAAAATAAATATTTATTCTCCAGATTTTTCAAAAAATCGCGAACATATTTTAGATGGCGACTGCTAATTAAAAGTTGTCGGTTTTCGATTTGTCGGTCGCGGACTATACAATTTCCATGAGTAGAAATTAGCGCTCATTTCTGGTTGGGCTAGAGCTGTTTAAGGCTAGTGGGTGTAGGCATTAATGGGGTTTTTTCTAATGGCAGCTTTGTTACTGTCGAGGGGAGGGGGGGTTGCTTCCTTGCATCTCAGTTGCACAATAGTCTGAATACGGTGAACTGTCCACTCAGCTACCCTGGCCCTATTTCGTTATCAGGCGCCATCTTTTAAGACAATCTTAATTCGAGAACTACCTCCGCTGTTATAGGGCGACTACTTGAACGTGTGTGTCCAATTGTTAAACAACTGAATCATCAACTGTGGAATCTGAAATAGTATTTGTAGGATTCGGCCGCTGTGATATGCAAAAAAACGTTTCCGGTCTGTAAAAAAGATTTTATGGTGCTTATGCGAGATAAAAGTATTCCTCCGCGAGTTTAGAATTATTCATACTGTTGTGCGGTTGTCAGACGAGCAGTTTTCATTTGGCAGCAAATTAAATTCCGAAAACACTTTTTACACTGAGAATTATGAAAGATTGGTCATATAGGAGTCGCATATTCATTATGGATTTTTTCTTTCATGGGAATAAAAATTCCTTTTGTTCTTTTTGGTAAAAATTTTCGGGTCATTTCTTTTTTGTTCAAAATTATATGGACTTGCATCACTCGGATTTCATTTTATTGCTGTCATGAAAAGTGAATTGAACTTATGAATAGTTATAAATATAATTTAATAATATAATTATAATTTCCTCCAATATGAATTTAAAAATCCGCACTGCAAATTTGTTCACTTTTTTTTGTTTATTATTTTTTGTTTATTATTTATGTAGCAGAAATTCAATCCACGGACAAAATCATCGATTATTATCAGAACGATTATTTTCTTAAGTTTCCCATGATGGTTCGATATTCTTTTTCCATTTCTTTCCTTATGATATATATTTATAAATTCCTCAATTTCCTCTTATAATAGCGCTTAACAAATTTATAAACTCAGTAATTGGACTGAACAAAATATCTTAAATCTATGTTCATTTCACTAAATTTGCAGATTTAATATACGATAGTAAAAAGTATTCGTAGCTTTTTTTTGTCTGAATTCTTAACTCTGAGGCTCTTAAATTAATTAATGGATCTAAGCTGAAAATTTTGTAATGATTAGTGAAATATAAGTAGGAATAAGTAAAGCAAGCAAGTGATAATATACCACTATTTAATTATTAAATGTAGCATTTATTATTTTATACGGATTAGAAACAAAAAATTAAGAAACAAATAAAACAAATAAAATAAATTTGTTAATTCCATAGAATTGAAACGTTTACTATAAAATGAATGTGAATTTGTTAATCAGAAAATAAATTCAACATGAATCACCTATGATTAATTATAATTTGCCAAAATAATCAATTAATACGATCCATGACAAAAGGAAAAAATTTTTTAGAACTGGTGTGGAGAATAATGTTGGTGTATTCTTTTCCATAAAAAATTCCCTTAAAAAATCCACTCAATCCATGAGTTTCGATTGAAAACGGCTTACAACCGGAAAAATATGGATCATGTTTTTTCCTCTTTGAAACAGTTATCTATTGAACTATTTGGATGAAATAAGAAATGTAAGTGAACGTCTGTTTCAAAGCACTAAATGTAAGATTTTGACAAAGGATGGTTGAGATTGCAACCTTTTTCTAGATTTTTTGAAAAGATAGATTTTATTTATTCAAATTTTTTTTCCTGCTTCTGAGCTATTCTTTCAATTAATTTGGCTCTCAAGACCAGTTTAAAATAATTAAACGAAATTTTAATCATAATTCACTTTAAGAAAAACTTTACTTTTACTTTAGCTAAAAAAATGAAGGCTTTTAATGTCAAAACAATCCCTCCGAGACATACTATGGACTGGCATATGATGTGAGTCTGTGGTACCCTAAACGAGGTTTAGCCTTGGCCAATGGGACCTTTCTTTTCCAGTAGGTCGAAATTTTGAATAATATTTATATACTTTTTGATACTAATGGTAAAGTTATTACTATTGAATCCAACATCACTCTCCACAGAACCTAAAATATACTTTTTTTCGATAACATTCTCTTCACCGGGTAATTTGAATAGTAAACAGTGAACATTTAAGCATAACGCATTTCTATAATTCAACTGTTTCTAGCGTTGATCGGTTTTTGTTTCGCCTCTTTTCCTTAAATTTCGACTCGCAAGCGAACCGTTACGAAGAATATAAAATTAATTAAGGAAATGAGGCAAAATTGCATTTTTCAGAATTTTCACAATTTTCTTTCTAGAAAAAGAGAAGAAAAAAGAATGAAACTGACCGTTTCGAGCGATGAATTAAATATATAAATAGTATCACCTAAATATTTTTCTTATACGTGGACAGGTGTATGGAATTTTTTGATCTCCTAACAGATCCGAGGCATTTTACCGTAAAAGGCTCTAAGGAACTTCAAAAGTTTAAAAAGAACTTAATTATACGACTTATTCGCTATTTTCAGGCTAATTTTTCAATTATTTATGGTTTAATCTTTCAGCTTATAAAGTTAAAATCTCGAATTTAAAATATTTTGCGCAGCTATGATAATCAGTTATTTGAAAATAGTAAGGAAAAATTTTAAACAGAAGGCAGTGGAAGATTTTCAAAATTCTCATTTCCACGAGTGTTGTTGTTCTGGCATAAGTTGCATTACATTGAATCCCGATTTAGGTCCATGACGACTTGGTGAAAGTGATGCTTGAGCTTGCTGTAAAAGGCGCACCATTTCTGCTACAGCTGGATTAATTAAAGAAGTTGGCGGAAGAATACTGGGCACAGAAGACGTAAAAAGTGTCAATGGTGATGTACTGAAATTATTGAGATTTTAGAGAATAGGATGTATATAGTGAATGGACATGAGGAGCAAGAACAAGAAGTAGAAACAAATTAATAAAATATTCAATTTTTCAAAAGCAATTTTGCAAAATGGCAAGCACTTGTAATTTGTATGCATCTTTTTCATTTAATAGTTCTCATCTTTTGTGGTTTGGCTTGCTATGTTGGCTGATGTGATGAAACCCTTTCATAAGAAAGTCATTTTGAGACAGAAGTGTAGGTGGTTCCCTAGCAGTGACACGATTTGCTTCTCCTAAGATATACGAGTAGAATCCATAATACTTGAGTTAATAGTCGAGAAAATTTGCCACTTCGTCTACTCATAATTAATCCGTGGTCTTAAATTCAAATAACCACCAGTTCGCTTAGATATATGGAGCCTTTTCTGTTAAATATTTTCTTTAACTTAGTCTTTCAATGCTTAAATGATATTCATAAGAATTTACCAGCTATTAACCAAAAAATATTTTTCTAACCCCGTTTTCAACAGTAATGTTGATTTCATATCGTTTTTCCCATTGGTGAGGTCCAGTGGTGTCAGCGGATCTACGTTGTTCTCCAACTGATCATTGTACTGCTTTGGTTTCTAAACATTAATAAAAGAAAAATTTAATAGAAGCCGGAATTGATGTTGTAAGTGTGTATGAAAATTAAAAATTGTTTGACTCAATAATTTACTTCTTACTGCTATTTGTATCAATGAGGTCTCTTGAAGATATTAAAACTATTATAAAAAATCTGTTCTCCCAGAATCTTATTTGGATGAAAAGTTTAACCTTTTCATCCAATGCAAGTTTTATTGGACGACCACATTTCCGCTTGCGTGTACCCGAAGAGCTTGCATCATTATTGACCAAATTATGATTTTTATCCAGAGATGCTATTGTGCCGTCAGAATATTCACTGCTTGTCTGTGAAAATGGTGAAGAACTATTACCAACTTTCATCAAAGAAGAGTCCGATGATGCTGAGTTAGTCAAAACATGAAGTGAATCCTAAAATTCAGTCTAATTTAGTGATTTGTCAAAGGAAATAATCAGAATGCGGAATAAATTTAAATGATCTAAAAAACTTGAAATTTTTACATTAAAAAATTCGCTGCTTCAGAGGAAAATAGAAAAAAGAAATAGTGATTGATTAAATAGTGATTGCAATTTATTATAAATTGTTCATTAAAAATAAATAAACAATGCTGAGGCAAAAATAATTCCATCGATAAATTAGATGCCATGGCTAACCACATTTCCAGCTAAATTCTCGCTTATTGTCTCCATCCGGAGTGAATCGAATTGTCGTTGAGGAGTAGCAGTATGCAATTTAGGATTTGGGTTACCGGAATGTCGATTCCTAAAAATAATTTTTTTGCTGAAACATAAAGGTTAAACTAAAATTAACTCCTTTCCATATTCTCATATTTTGCCTTCAATTATTTATATTTATTCAGAATTTGTTTGAGAATTAACAGAAAAAATAGTTATTAATGCTAAAACAAAAAATACGATTTAAAAAATAATAGCTTTAAGTGAACGTAGAATTTATGCTATCTAATCTATTTGATTCCCTTGGCGCAATAAAGAAGTTATGTCAAATTTTACAAAATAATTTTGAAGAGATTTTCTTCTGAACTAAAAAAAAACTTTTGAAAAGCATTTTGAAAAAATTTTGAAAAATTTATATTCTCAAAGGAAACGAATTTCTTCATATGCATATTACGAATTAAATTTAAAAATAAGGCTCAAAAATAGAGATTTTAATTTAAATTGGTTAAATTTATTTTTTTTCCACTTCATTTCCATATTTCTTTCCTTTGCCATTGTATAAATTTCATTATATAAGGGCTTAAAACTTTATTTATCAATATTTACAAAATCAAACAGAAAAATGTAAAAGATAGATTTTAAAATAATAATTTTAATGATTCTCAATTTAGAAATAAAATTTTAAGTTTTAATTTAATTTAATTTATAAACTTAAATAATATTCTAGAATATAAAGAAAATTTCAAGAAAGCAAACGTATATAATTTTAGTAGACTATAATTATGACATTCGAACGATAGGGCCTATAAATATTGACGGCAACGATTTTCCATTGTCGCAATGAAATCGCATTAATCTAATGGCAAATTCAGAGCTAATGAAGGAACGGATGGATTAATGGAGAAAAGTGCAACGCGTATAATTATCAACAACTGATCATGCGACAAAATGGCGAAGCCTTAGCAAAATTTTCCATTCGGTAGGCTTTTCTTCAAAAAAAATTTTTTTTTATATTATATCAATTAATTCATCATTGTAAATAGTCAGAAAATAATCACCAAATTAGATGATATGAAAGATAGGATTTCAAATAAAAGTGAAAAATTCTGACCTGCTTCGTCTGGAAGAGAACATCATTTCACATCCTTCAACCGTACATTTATGCATTTCCTTAAGGTGAACGGCACTATTGTGAATTTTAAGAGCACCTTTGTCGCAAAATGTTTTAAAACATTTCATGCACTGAACTCTTCGTTTTCCCGTGTTCTTACCACACTATAATATCATATCAGTGATCTATTTTTCAGTGAAATCTGAAACTTTGAAAAAACCGTAGCAGATCACGACTATCGATTTTCCATTTTCGAGAGAAAGTTTGTTAACAGCAGGATTTTTCTATTCTGAAAGTTCCTATATCTCAATCATACATAGTAATTGTAAGACAACCTATTTAAATAAAAGACCTGAAATGCTGCTTTCCGCTTTGTTTCACCGATTTCTGGAATTGAGGTCTCGAATTTTATCACACCTTCATCAATAACAGACGTTTTATCAATGTGCTTATCTTCTTGCTTGATGATTATCTCGTTTTCGAAAGGAGCTTTCGATGCCTGCTCACTTTCAACAGAGTTTTCGCATAAATCAACTATCTCTGATGCACGATATTTTGCAATTGCATGCCTTAGGATGCCTGGAGGAAATTGATTATTTAACTCATCTAACAAATTCAATAAACAGTAGACCAAATTTTAAAATTGACCAATTTTTTATGAGCCAAAATCAGTGGAAAACAAGATGAAAATAAAAAATCCTATAAAGTGTGATTCTATTCACATGTATCAAATATACTGTTTTCACGCATATATCACATGCTACCAACAAAAATTCTTTAAAATCGTCAGTCAACATTCGAATTTACGAGATCTTTTACGTGACCTACTATAAATCTTTCGTTTATGGAAAAACTCAGTAAATTATGATCCAGAGACTGAGAATTATTCACTATAACAAAGTGGATTAAAAAATAAAAAAGGTGATAACGATTCTCACTTTGTTTTGTTTCCATATTCATAGGTTCTTGTGGTATCGTTGCATCATATGGTGGCAAAACTCCAATTATAGATGACCAATTATGGAATAGACTTGGCATTAAAGAGTTTCGCAAAGTATCTACTATGTCATTACATGATTGAAAATTACTGAATTGATCTATTTGGTGGAGTTCGCATTGCAAATTTGCGCAGTTCCATCTCTTTAACTGTTTGCCTGTTCTAGGATCCTGCAATAAATCTCAATAAAAATGGTTAAATGTGGCTAAAGCTATATTGAACCATTTAAATTTCCTTAACAATTTTTTTAAAGCCTCTGAGATTTAAGAGCGATTTCAATTTGTAATCCGTGCGTGAAATATAATGTAAATGAATAATGTAAAAGTCGAATTCATTGCCATTCAAATATGTCATTCAATCAAAATTCTTGATTAATGCTATTCACAAGACAAGTAATACGACACAATAACAAATATTTGACAACATAAGCATGCAAACATAGTAATTTTAGGCCTACTCGAAATGCGCTTAAGCGATTTTCCGATTGCGCTAGAGATAGCGCTGAGAACCTTTCCTGCTTTGTCGACAACTCCATTCTGTAAAAAAAAGAAAAAAAACAGATCTGAATATTTATTTGAAAAGGAACATTCGTAAGAACGACGCTTGTGCCAAAACTGTATTCTGAATCATCTTAATGTGGCGAAAACAGGAAAATGGCATAAAGACGCTAGAAATTTATCCAGAGAAAAAACAATTTATTCTAATTCTTATGCAACGAATGAAAACTGTAAAATGTTAATAAATTTTGAATCAGCCAAATGATATGTATTTATAATTTGAATGCTGATATATTGACATTGGCAACTCGCATAAGTATGGTGGTCTAACGCTACATTATTCCACTGTCAGTGGATTTGATTCCTGTATTTTGGTGATAAGCTTATCACCAAAGCTTGGTAAAAGTTTAAGAAATTCTGAGGCTTACTGCAGAAGCTATATACCAAAATATCAGATATTAAACTGATACTGTGATATTACTGTAAACAAGTACTATAATGAAACTAAAAAATCTTATGACCACAGTGAAATAAGAAAACAAGCGGTTGATAAAATTTACGGTATATCACTTTTTTTACAATCAATGTGAAAAATAAGCTGATTAGGTCAAAATATTTCTTATAAATGGGAAGTAATAATGGAAAAATCCTTTCATCAATCACCTGATTAATTTGCGCGATTGCAGTTCTGTTAATGTTTGCAGTTTTCTCGAATTTCACTGAATTTGAAGTCTAATTATCATAAAATTTCTCGCAAAATATAATCATAATATTGTTCTGATTATGCTAGAGACGATTATCAAATTCAAATTTTTCTGAAACACAAGGCTAAAAGATAGGTAGGGCAATGAAAAGATATGTATGTCATTGATGAATGTTCTTCGTAATGGCCGATGTCACTATGTAATTTCGGGGATGCAATAAATTGAGGATTGTTGGAAGATGATGAGATGACAAGCAATGTAAGATGAATCAAGACATCGTAGTGCAAAAGCTTCTCGTATAATTGACAGTAAAGCCTATATATTAGATAAACTGCCTGGAAATGATGAAAATAACATGGAGAAACCAATGTTAGACACCAGAGAACGAAAAAAAAATGTGCCAGCGAGATTCTTCAAGCCTTTCGCCATATTAAAAAGCGAAAATTAATGGCCGAGCTTCTTCTTACCGACGCATGTAAATTGTTTGTCACGCATAATTTTCTTTGAATCAACTATTCATGTTATTTATTTTCATTCAATATTGCTAAGGAATTATGATTTTTAACGATTAAAATTGAATCAAAATACAACCTATTTCTTTATTCGTTCATACAATAACGGTACTATGGTACTTATCTTTACTTTCCTGAATACTTACTTATTTCAGTTGAGTAATTGAACAATTGAAGGACGCCGCCAAATTATAAAGGATGCAAAAAAATTCATTTTTTATCCGTTTAATTCGTCATTGGCTGGTTAAGCGACTCGCAGTATTTTTTATCGCACCATCTAATTTTAATAGCAATAATATACAACGTTGTTTTTGCACATACAAAAAAAAACGATCATTTAGAATCAAAGAGAATAAAAAGCTTAATTAATTTATGATAAGATAAGATAAGATTTAACTCATCCTGAATTTCTATCTTTGAATTTCTATCTATTTCTAAACTAAGCTGAATTTAAGCGGTTGCAGCTTAAAGAAATCGGTTGATCTATCGGTTAGTCGAAGATTATAGGTGAAAATGATCGGTCAAATTCTAATCTGATTGAGTTTCACTAAGTGCAATTTGGTCAAAATTATTTAGCATGGCGTATATTCACAAAAACTGGCTACGATTGAAAAACGACAAAAATGTTTTTACTTTAACAATTCTAAGAGACGACCAAGTGGTTTCGAATTATTTTTGACATAACCTTCATCATCAAATCCAATATTAGTAAAAAAATAACTATTCTTATGAAAAATTTTAAAAAAGATGAAGAAAGACACCGCTGACTAAGTTTCCAAAATCGCGAAATTTATTCTTTAAATATTCCCAGTTTAGATCGATAAATTATTAATTAATACGTATAACCGAATCTTTAGTTTCAATATTCTTCAGCATCATGGAAAAGAACTAAATGTTTGGGTCAAGAATAAGTTATTTGGAGAAAATTGTCACCATGAATGAGCGAATGAGTGAAATATAGCGTGTGAACAAAATTATAGCTACATTCGTATTTCAAGCTTTCTCAGTTCTTAATAGCCTTTCTTCGCTCCTGTCATATATCACAAATGGTCGTCTTCGTTATTCCCATTCGCTATGCAAAAGTCGTCCCCGATCGGTAATTTATCCACCATTTTCCCACTTTGAAGCTGTTTAGTTCGAAAAAATCAGTTTTCTCTAATCGAGTTCATGTATCTCTTTCGTCTTTTAATCCCATCTCTCTTTCTTATTTCTTTCTAAATTTGTCAAGGAAGGCCATTTGTGCGACTTTTAAACGATACGTGCTCGTAAATCTTCAAGATGTCACCACACCCAAGCATCTCGATGCGACTCATTTCCTCTACCGTAGTTCATTGTTATCTATCAGCTCGCTCAACAACTTTATCAAGCGCCATCAAGCATTCTAAATCACATCCAAATTGCTCACTCTTTTAATCATTTGTTTATCAACGAAAAGATCCAAGCTCTAGCGAATAATCGAAATTTTCCTAATGCTTACGAGTTACGAGTTTTTTTAAAAGTCTTAAAATTCTTTAAGAAGAATGTTAAAAAATTGTATTTTTGGCTTTTCTTCGATATACAAGGACCATTTTATTAAAACGTTTTTTCTAATTATATATACACCTAAAATAATTTGATTTTTGAATTTTCGGGAAAACGGCAAAAAACATAGAAAATCTATAAATACGAATAGAAAAAAACAATGGACAAAGAGGCGAAAAAAGTTTGAGAGATGAAGGGGAATCATTAACTTCGAAACATTATTTATTAGACTTCTCGTTTTTTGTTACTGAACAGGTTTGAGCGCAACTAAATAATGAAATTTCTCAATATAACAAAAAGCCAGATGTTACAAGAGATCCTCTAGTGCATCTGTGCCAAGTGGCTCTATAGCAAGGGGATCTCATCTGAACAATCATTGTAGCCAAACTGAGTGCAGTTAGAATAGGATAGTGCAAAAATGCTATCTATCTTAGCTGTTTTGAATACTTGACACAATTATCCTTCCTAATCTCCGCTAACCATACTATTTTTCCATGGAATTTTTTTTTCCACTAATAGAAGAAAGAATCTTTTTCGAGGAACATCTATGTATTTATTGTAAATTGTTGTGCAAGACTAAAAGCAGCCAATTGTATGGGAAACATGAAAATGAAACATGAAAAAAGGGGAAAAAAGGAGGAGAACATAATAAAATTTGTTCTTTTTAATCGATCCAGTCCACAATTTTTTTGATAAAAGACTCGATAAAAACGTTAATCGTAATTGATTTTGATTTATGGAAAAAGGTCGGACGATGTTAGCGATTCACCTGCACTTCTATCGCCAAATGACTCCTTGGCACATTTGCCTAGTCCGAAAAATCAGCGGAGAGACCAGTAATGGTCAGCGCTCATGGAAAATAGTAAAATGATCAAAAGGATAGAATTTTTGGAAAAATTTCATTTAGATGTCTTTTTCTTCTCAATTAATAAATTTTTTATTTTTTATCTAATTATCTATCTAAAATTAAATGGAATTTTCACGCCTTAAAGAATTCCTTTTTAAAATGATAATCTATTGGAAAAATCGAATCAGAGCTAATTCTTATTGATGTTGATTTATACGTTAAGCAATAATACAGTGGTTATAAGCCTTCTTTGATCAATGTACCTTTTCCATCATATCTCAAAATCAAATTCTTCCACCGGTAGCTTGCTTATCAAGAGGAAAAACTACCTGTATGGTCGTCATATTCATATTTTGCCCTCAGGGCTTTTATCCATTCCCACTCCGAAGTCTCTAAAATTTTTTCTAGGTGGAAAATTCGTCAGCGATTAAGAACCCCTGGAACAATTTAAATGAAGCACCACAATCTACCTCTATTTCTTGCAACAAATAAATAAAAAAATATATTAGGACTTTAACCTTTCGCTTCAAAATATTTCATATAAAAATGGTATCGATTTAAATACCGGAAAACGATGAAATTGTATCAGTTATAAACCAAGGATGTAATATTTACCAATATTTCAGCTAGTTTAGCACATTATACCCCATCTATAGCCACAAAATCCTAATATTAGCCTATCTAATGTCAGCAGTGAAACGCTTTGATATATTAAAATTTTTCAATTACACTTTTCATTGTTTTATATTCATTTATCTTTTTATAAGGAGCCAAGCAAAGGAACCAAGCACACCCCATATGCTGGCTGATGTTAACAACAACATATTGATATTGAAAAATTGATATTGATAAAAAATATTATAACAAAAAGAGAAAAAGGCATCAAAAATGTATGCTCTGGATGGTAATATTAACCGATTGAAATTATGGCTTTAGGTAGACGAAGAGAGAGATTAAGCAAAAACAATATCAGTTGGAAACCAGGAATTACTTTTAATGAAGGAATTTCAGATAGGACCCAGGAATAGATTTATGCAACCCATTATTTTAATAATTTTCTCTAGTAGCATTTATGCAAAAATCATGATTATTGATGCAGTTTAAATTAATGCTACCGAAAACATTGTAAACAAAAGTTGCTTTATTAGAAGATCTTCCTTAATTCTTCTAACCAAACTACTTAAAATCGACGTGATGAACTTTAGCCTGGTTTCATAGCTAATTAAAACATTTGTGTTCAAGAGGTGCAAAAATTATTGTCAGAAGCTCTCAACTAATTTCACTGATTTAATATATGAAATCTAGACGAAGCTTTGTGAAGACGAAAATACTCTTTTATCCTCCAGATGTGGACGAGTGAGTGCTTTATAAATGCTTATAATAAGAAAAATATCTGTCCTTTTTTTAAAAGCTCTGAATATAAGGTTTTTTTGCCGATATGTTTACTCTATAAATCGGAACCGAGATTTTCTCAACCGATAACCCGAAATGAATAGAAAAATGAATAGGAATAATCTGAATAATTACTGGCCTCAGCCAGAGGACTATATGTATATATATATGCCTGATCAATATATGCCTATGGCCGATCAGAATATTTGCCTTAGCATCTAGAATTTTACTTTATCTATAGATGATTTGCTTTGTTTTCTCCTTAAGTCCTTCAACTATTGTATTGTGCAGACTGATAGTTTAAATCCTCTGATCTGTGCATGCGAAAGATTAATTTTGCAGCAGCAGCCAGCACTTTTGATTTAGAAATAAGCGCAGCCACAGTAATATCATTAAAAAGAATATAGGGCCATTATGGCCATTATAAGTATTATAAGGCAGAGCATGCCCAACTAAAACAAAATTCGATGATGCCATATTAATATGCTTCGACCGATATCTAAAACAGATTAAAACACTAACAATGCCACGAATAGCCATGAAAAGCTTACCATGTGAAGTATCATCAAAAGCTGCAGCTAAATCCGGAATGCATAGCCGAAGCCACTTGTAAATCAAGGATAATTAGCGAACAATCCCAATTAAAAGAAATTATCCGATTTTTTTCTCAGGAAACAAAAATCATATATAGATTTATTAGCGCAAAGTCAGTTGTTAGATGAGTCTTTCTGCTATTATTCTACAAATACAAGCAGTGCCAATAGGTTAATAATCGAAAGGCTTATATATATCTTTCAACAGGTCATAGTTTCAACTATGATTTTTAAACAGTTACTTGATCATATTCTTCTTCTAAAATAAAATGTTTGATTTTATAATTTTTGGTTTTCAAAAAATTGTTTTGCTTAAAATCAACAAAATTACAATGCAATTTTTTCGAACATCGGAAGCAATGCTAAAAAAGCTGAAAATGATGCAGCAATTTCAGTCGAGAATTGAAATTTATTTTTTCATATTTCAATTATTGAATAACAATTGATCAAACAGTTTTTCGTTAATTTCTTAGCTTAACTAGCCAATATTACTCGGTGCTTGTCTTCGATTATAAAATGCATATGAAATAATAAAAATAAAAATACTGCAAATACTACCTATAATATAATACAAAAAATAATTTGGTAAGAGTTCACATAAGCGTTTTTTGAATAGCAGTCATAATACTGCTTTTTGAAGGTAACACGCATACGCTACATTTTTGTCTAATTGTTTTAAAAATGTCATATGACCATTCTACTTTTGGAATGTGGGCGATGGGCGACTGCCGCCCGATCCAGACAATGTTACATGTAATACTCATATATGTTTATTGACGAAGGTGGGTTTAAAAAAAATTTTACATGACAGAAAGCAAAAACACCTTCCATCACAAATGATTAAATAACAACGTACAAACAAATGAAAAAAGAAAAAAAAATTTTCTCTTCTAATGTGCACTTTTCTCGAATATGGCCTATAACCTATAGCTTCCTCTTTTCATTATTCTTATTTCTGGCAACATTCAATTCATTTATTACAAAATCTTTTTATAGAAACTTCGATGTCACCATTAATTAAGAAATTATGATCACATTGCGATTAAAAATTTTAAACACAAACAACCTTTTAGAGTTCATTCGATGGGGTATATGATAAGGTTGCATTAATAAGGACAAAGAGAGTTAATATCCCGGAATCTCAACGACGTTACACTCATTATTTGTGTTCTATAATGGTTCCAAAAGTTAGTTCAATAAATTACATGGACATAAAGCTATGATACCAATTATCAATTCAAATGAAGTTGGAAAGCAAAGGATTTCAAATGTATGGACGAATAACTAAGTAAAGGCAAAAATTTGAATTACAAATGCTTAAAACACTCAAAACAATGTTTAAAAGATGGCAAATAATAAAAGAAAGAGTTAGGAGCCATCAGCTATTCCAGTAATATAATGGGACATTGTTAATATCTGTCAAATCCTTAGGGATATTGTGGGTCAATGGGAAACATTTGTTAAAATCTGTCATCGTGAATAGCAAAAAATTTGGTGACAAGTGTTCCATATTCCAATCATCCAAGTATGGATTTTATTTTAATCTTATAATATCTAAAATATCTCAATATCTTGTTTTCATCTTCAAAACCATTTTTAAGGCGATTTTTAGATTAAGCAAAAGCGATGCAAAACGATGCAAAATGAACATGAAGCAATCAAGAATTTTAAGAAGTATTAGTCAGTTGGTGAGTAACACAATTAATAGCACATACATTTTGGATAAATTTACTCGACTCAAAGCTAAAAAACTATTCAACTATTTCTATTATTACTTTGATTAATCTATATTAATTTTGATTGGAATCTTTAAATTAATAAAATATTAAAATGGCCATGAAAACCAAATCTATTCAACGATTTCAATTTATTTATTATTTTTGAGAATATTGTTGGCCTGATAATTTCATAAAGAGCCAATCATCATTAATAGCATATTTTAAGCTTATAAATTAGAAACTGAATAATCTCACTTGAGATATGAAACACAACTTTGGACCTAACTTTTGCAAAACGAGTTTAAAATGTTCATCTACCATTTCCACTATGCAAGATTGATGATTTAATATCACCATGGATAATATTACTTATTATCTAACGCTCACAAAAATATATTTTCATGCTATAATTCTGAGTAAAATCTTTCTGTTCCTTGTTTTAGAACCAAAACATTCGATTGAATTGTCGAGTATTATCAAAAAAAGCCATCAGCAGAGAACCAAAGCAAAGATTAGTTCAGAAGATAATTCAGAGCACTCAACACGAATTTATTCTTTCGAAGCTAATTACATGATGAATACATAAAAGACACTTTTTTATATACGAGTTTGCAAGGCATCATAGAAATATCGCAAAAGATCTTTGCAGAATGTTGCCAAGGTCAAAAGCATTGTGCTTCTCTATACCTATAACAGCATTTAAACAAAGGTTGTTTCATTTGGAACTAAATTAGGGTTCCAATTTAAGGCTACGCTTCCAATTTCGTCACTACAGCTAAAATCAGTTTTAGGAGGCCTTACTAGTCTTACGATAACGAAATAGGGATAAGCTGGAACGATATCTCATGACGAACGAATATTATGATAGTGCAAAGGATTTAAATACTCATCCTAGTATAAAATATCTACAGAAATTACAATGACTATTGTAATTAAAATAATTTCACCTAAATTAAGTTTATGTTATAGATGAGTTATGCACAACAAATGGCAGAAAACGAAGGGCTTTTGAAGGCCTGCAAACAAGGATTATCCTTTTGTCAGAAAGCAGAACATAATAATAGCTAAATCTTATCAACAGTTTTACATACAGGTTTTAATTAAAAACATCTCACAGACTGTTTATGAATGAATAAAATTATCAAGTAATTATTTTCCGGAAATACTCAGCATAGTTGTAAGCACTCCTCCCACATTCCTCCACTCTTCCGAACTTGTCGATAATATCTTAGCAATGAATTTCAATAACAAATGTAAATTTTCAATGGAAAAATATAAACAATGCCAACCTCGATCATAAAACCTCGTTCAAAGTTTTCTTTAGTCCAACCAGCTCGATTCAAGATGGATTCAACATTGTGCTCCGATAAATTAGCCAATGCTCGATGAAGCAAAATTTTTACTCTAACAGGTATAGCCTATAATAAACTACGATATTATTTAGTTGTACTTTAATATATTTTGTAGATCTCATTAGTAAAACAGTAAAGCAACAAAAATAAGAGCGCTGAAATGATGCTCTGCATTTATACCCTCTATGCTGTAGACTTTAAAAAAACCTTACGCAAAATGAAAGTAATGTGTTCCACAAAGTTAAAACAGAATTACTGTCCTGTATGTATTCTTTAAAATACAACATTAACAATCGTGAACGAGAATTTTATAAGCTGAAGTTTTTTTTAACTAAAGGATTTATGGAACTGCACATGTAATAGTGAATTTTTTTAGCAAGAATCCCAGTGGCCTAATTACTTTAAAATATGAGTGATTAATCATTTTTCAAGATAACTGCGATTTCTTAATATTCGCTAAAAAAAGATTCACTCGCGCAAACAAATCACCTGATATCCAGATAATGAGCTGAAAACGACAGATTCGAGCGACGAAAGATCGGCTTTCTTGTTGCCATCGTTATCTGAATTCGAATTTTTCGAGGTTGAACAACTCGTTGATGCAATTTGCGTATTACTTAGATTCATATCCTGAAGACAGTTTCATCATTAGTACTTTATGTAAATTTTTTGGAAATCAAATTGATATTTTTAAGCGATGGTTATATCTATACAAACTAATAAACTAACTTAAAAAAAGAAATCATTTTATTGCTAACACAAATTGTCTTAATGGTTAGTGGCTTAAATGATCTTCGTTATTCAAGAATTCATGTGGCGTTTCTCATTTCTATATATGTATTTGCATTTTTCTAGTTAAATGACTCCGGAGAAAATTTCCGGTGATGCTAACCAACCAGCAGAGCAAACGCAGCCAGAAATGCTGAGCACTATTCACTTAATCATTTACCATGTTCTTATTTTCATAATTTGGTAATAAAAATGCTTACAAACACCTGATTTGTCTATTTAGATAAACTATATATTACTCTATTCTCTATAAAAGTGGATATAGTAAGTGTTGGAGATAAGAATCGTCCATTGGATGTTATCGTTAGAAACGTAGAGAGCGATTCGAGTATATTCTTATATTCTTACAGCTTCAATCATTTATGTGGATCACATAAGATTTTGGATGTTGCTCAAGTGGAAAGTGTCATATTCATGGCTGACTGACTAGTTTAAATTAATGACAAAACATGACGAGACGAACCAGTCGAGTGCCATAATGGAGTACAGGATAATACAAAACCAATATTACGATCGCTATAAAAACGTTATCTCGCAAGCGAATTTCGTTAAGCTGTTCTCATTTTTATATGATTTATCGGAACTAAAATCGTTTGTGATATTCCACCTCACGAAACTGACCTCCTACAAGATTTAACGAGTTTTTAGACCTCCTTACAATACTCTTTCCTAAGCTATAAAGCAATTTGCCGGATTATCGAGAAAATATTTTGGCAACGCCGAAGACCCAATTGTAGTTCAGCGCCATTTGAATCTTTGGCGAAAGAATTTGACCGTTGCAATTGAAACAGCCAAAGCAAATGGTGCATGCTGTTCGAAGAAAAATAATTTTCTAAACAATTAGCAAATGATGTGGTATCGATGTTGAATGGATATCCGTTGGGACTTGAGGATTTAAAGGAGACAACATCGACATTACACATTCGTCCACGAAGAACTCGAGCTACGATGGATATCTTTTTCTCTGTAGGCGGCGTCCGCACTTTTCCAACTCAAATTCTGGTAGATGCAGTTAAGTCGCACGTGTCGTGTCACTGATACTTTTCGCTGCTCTCACATAAAGCGAACATACATACAAACAGACACACACACACACACATCAACAACACATTTGCACACATCCTCGAACAGAACGACCGATCATCTCCAACAAAGCTGTCTATCTATAATATTTTATATTACACTACAGTAGTTGTTATCCATACACAAGAAATCGCTTTGACACTGCCACATTATATGATGGCGATCAACTATCGCACTACAGTAACCGATTCACCAAACACCGAGAAGTTGATTCGTCATCTACACCTCGGCCGAGAAATTATCGTTCGGTTCGATGATATAATGGATTGAGCAACCTATCTCGAGTGATTTTATGGCTAAATCGGTCACAAAATTTGCAATGAAGTTTAAAAAAGACAGATTAATCAATGGTACACTCAGTACACTCCGTTCTCTCCGTTTTTCCACTAAAATCAACTATTCTATATTGGAGAAGAAATATTTTTATGAAATGACTATCGTTGAAATTTTAAAAATAACTCGGCAATTTGATTCAGTAATGAACTTAAAAAGGAATTCTGAAAAATTGGAAACCCTCAGGTGAATTAGGATTATTCCATTAATCGCTGTTAAAATAAGACGGAAAATCGACTGAAGAAGTAGAGTTTTTTTATTCCTCTAAAAAAATTTGCAAAAATTAACGCCCGACGAGAATTCATCAAAAAAAAAACTGTCCTGTGGAGCAGGCTGTTTGCTTGCTTAGATTCGTCTCAAACGCCCACCATAATTTTTCTTTTTTTTTCTAAGTAATTTTTTAATACCGATACCGATTGCAATATCGCATATTAGTTACTTATTTGACTATGATAAAATCCAAGAGAAATACGATGAAAAAAGATTTCGGCCAAGTCCACGAGCAATATTCTCGGCAAACGCATCGCCTCCGACCTCTACGATATATAGGTTTTCACCGTTTCGCTTATCGTTTATTTCATCATTCATTAAATAGCCTTCCAAAATCACCTTGCAAATGCATAATATGCATATTATCTATTATTTATTAAAAATAATCGAATTAGTTTTTTTCTTTTTCATTTAGGTTCTGCAACATATCTCGTTTAATTGGTTCCATAGGGAGTGTAAAATTTCGACGAGGCGAATCGATCCGCAGCATCCCGCTTTTCGCTCCACTAAGGCACGAGACGGGAATCTAAGCTTCTAAGCTGCGACAATTCGAGCCTCGCTCGAGCGAACTTCGCCTCGCCTCGATTGTGTCGCAATAAGTTTAATACGAAATAAAGCATTCGAAAAGCCGTACGACACAATAATAAACAAACAATCTCTATCAGTCTGTATGCGTCGTTCGAACTAATAATGATATTCGCATAATTTTTCGCAAATTATACATTTCGTAAATGCTCGAGGGCTAAATCATATAACGAGTTGACGCAAATATTTTGCTTTTTGCTTAATATTTATATAAATCCTAAAAAAATAAATCGATAAATCATTTTTAAACGGATAAAATCGATATGGAGACGTAAAAAAAGGCGCATTACAGCGACAAGTTCAAGCGCATAACTGACGAAGAACGATCGTAGTTCGAAGAGAAACGATGACTTTATATGCTGAATCACGGCTTATATCCGCTTCTTTTGCTGCTGTCACTTGCACTGCCACAAACTTGGAGAGCCATAAAAGCCAAAAGAGTTCGCGATTCATCAACTTCAGCTACTGTACTGAGGCTTCTTTTTCGAAGAACGCCTACCCACTTTATTTCGCTGATAACCGCTGATTATTAAATGAGTTTTCTTTTCGATGAACAGCTTTACTTATTTTACTTTTGTCGGAAAAGTAGAACTGTTTCGGCAAAAATAAGCTCCTTCGTTTATTGCTTCTTCACGAGCAATATTTTTATTCGGTAATGTTTCGTTGCGCTTTTTTGCATTTAATATTTTAGTAAAATGATAATGAGAAAAGTGAGATTTTTAATGATAACCGAGTAATACTTCTGTTATTTTTTATTATTTTATTTATTTATTTTTTGCTTTCACATTAACTTCTTTAAATTATCAAAAGCAAGGAAAATGATCTGAGCTTATAGAAATAAAAATAGATCAGTTTTGCGAAGCAAGCTTAGACCTCACTAATGCGACAGTTGCTGCTTCTATTCGCCTGGCAGACAAAAATGGTGGCCAATGGTCATCAATTGTTACGTTGTTGGTTGCTATCGGAGTGAATGTTTTTGCAATCTCGCAAGTAAAAAAAATTTGAAAGACTTTTCGCATGAAGATGAAATTTTTATGCATTCATTTTTGACCGAACGAGCTTCAATTATATATATATATATATATATTTATATATATTTTTGATAATTATTTGGCAAAATTTTTTGACAGTGACAGTGACAATACTGTTTTCATCTAAAATGCATTGTTTAAACGAAAATTATTACTGAAAGGTTCCGAAAGCCAAGGCACTCATCTATTACTAGTTAGACTCGCTTCGCTTGCTTGGAGGGCTAGGCAAATACTAGACTGGGGAGTTCACTGGATAGAAATAGGGATGAGTCGTCAGCATCACCTGGATTCTTGCCAGATTTGCTCTTGCGGAGAGTGGAATCTCAGCATCCGTGTTCCGATTTGAGCAGCAACCCCACTGAGCTTCACGTTTGTTTGCTCCATTAAGCGACAATGCCACCGGGCCAGACTGGTACGCCGGCCAGATTCGAATCCAAACTTCGGTTCTCGGTGGAAATTATCTTGCCACTTAGCCACCGACGCACCTTTTTTTACATTTGACCATTAATTAGTCAAATACAAATAAAATTTTCAGAAAATCTTGGACGGGATATAATTTTAGAAAAAGAGAAAGAAGGACGGGACGCTGATTGAAAATTTTCGCTGTATTATTGGTATAAATAAGTTCTGCAAAGTGCCCAGTGACCAATATCGATTGTTGTAAACTGAGAATTCTCCGATCGTTCTCCAATCCGAGCTTCACACCTGTCATTACAAAAGTATCATATGTGTCGCTTAATTTCTTCATCAGATTACTGTCTCGTATCAAAATAAGTAGAAGTTATGCTTGAACAGGACGGAAGTTGGCTATCACTTATCAATTATCAGAATTTTCTTCCTTATTACCGAATACTTTTACAGAATCATTTTTCTGTTAAATCTGTTTGCTGTTCGTAGCTTTGCCAGTTGTTTATTGCCAGTTCAGCAAAAATAATTAAAAATTAAGACATGAGATTTGGTGATGAAAGACATAAGATAAAAGCAAATCACCACATATTTGTCCTTAAACATTGGTATAATAGTTGGAATGGCAGAAATTCAAATACCAAAGTACCTTTTAAGTACCGAAATTGTCCACAATATTCACAGTTGAAAAGATGGCTCTCATCATTGCTTGGTGATTTTATGCATGTAGTTACAGTAACGTGAATGATTATGTCGAGACGAACAGGTTTTCAGTAACAAAACTTTAAACTAATTGTTAAATGATACTTGTTGCAAAATCAATAGAAAAAACTTTATACATCATTGTATTTGAATTTTCGGACTTCTTCGACCTTTCAGGAAGAGTTTATCGTTATGCATGTGAGACTTTTTTCATTCTCATTGAATTTTTGATCCAATAATTTATACGAGACCGTGCATTTTTAAAAAATTTAAGTGCAATTGCGTTCGAAAAAAAGAAAACTGAAAAATTTAAAAAACAAAGAATTTCTTGCTTAAATTTCTTGTTTTACTGTTCAAAGATTGCTCAAGAATAATAATTTCCTAATTGCATATTTAGTGTTGCGATGTTGGAATGGGAAAGTGCTCAAT